GGAGAAGAGTTGTCCTGGGTGTAAGGTGTGGTGTTGTTTGCCAGTTGTTGCCAACTGCCTCCACAGGAGCGTAAGGCGAGAGTGGAGGCTGAGAGGAAGGCACGGGAGCTGGAGTTGGCCAGACAGGAGAAAGAGACTGGTCAGAAACAGCCCACACTCCAGGGAGTCAAGTTTGTGAAGGGAGAGGCAGGGACAGGGCAGCCACATGTCCTCTTCCCCCAGCTACACTTCAGGACTGAGAACCTGTTCGCTCTTGGGTCTCCCATCGGACTCTTCCTCATCGTCAGGTGACCACACCCACCTCCAGTGTCATGTGACAGTCATGTGATCTCTCAACAGAGGTGTGGAGAAGCTGGGTCCTGAGTACAGACTGCCTCACTGCCGGCAGATGTTCAACATTTTCCATCCAGTAAGTTCCTCTGTAGAAACTGCTTGTACTTCATGCCTAGCCGTGCAGGACCGCTGCAGTTTAATACTCTCATTCACTCACCAATTATTATGCATTGAATTTGTTAACAAACATGGTACTCCAATGACCACTGCAGTTTGACCCAGTGGCCTACCGACTGGAGCCGCTGATCTGTGACACTCCTCCAGAGAAGCCGGTTCTGATGCCTCACCACAAGGGTCGCAAGCGGTTCCACCTCGGTACGCAGCCTCCTCTCTCTACGAGTGGCCGTCACTCACTGTGTGTTGGCTACAGAGTTGTACGAGACAGTGGAACACGTGGGGGCCAGTATGAAGCACTATGTGGTGGAGGGGATGAGGAACATGTGGCAGCAGCTCAACGAACTGGCTCGCAGCCACCGATCAGGAGATCAGCCACTGCAGATCACTGGGGAGGAGCCTGACACCCCCACCAGTAAGCCACGCCCCCTAATTAGACAGTGTAATGTGATGTTGTAAGTGTAGTTGTAGAGGCGGAGCAGGGGGTGGTGGGGGAGAAGGAGGTGGGGAGACTGAATCTTGGTCGCAGAGTGGACTATGTCCTGCAGGAGAAACCCATCGAGAAACTGAATCAGTACCTCTTTGCTCTCAGCAGCCACCTCAGCTACTGGTGAGGAGGGGAGCGAGGGAGAGAGGAAGGCGTGATGTATGTCTGTTACTGCAGGAGGTCAGAGGACACTGCCCTGTTCATCTTGAAGGAGGTGTATGAAGAAATGAACCCTGAACTCATCAAGTCATGAACTGTGTTTGCTGTGCACTGGTGAACTGTTCTGCGCATGCGTACAACCACATTGATTAGCGAGAAATAATGGCGGAGGGATCGGGAGGATGGATTCTGGGGGAGAAGATGGCGGAGGACGAGCTGTCTGTCCCGCAGCCAGTGGCCATGCACTCGTCTGCGGCAGAGACGGAACATGTCAGTGCGTTGCTCTAATTTTGTTGACCGAGGAATGACGTATGCCTATATACCACACCAGGAGCGACCCTCAGAGTTGTTGGTAGCACATTCCCTCTCCTATCCCGGCTGTCTGTCGGCCATCATCACCCTCGCGTTACCGCTGGAGGCGCGGGTTCAGCAGTTCAGGGAGGAGTTCTCTCACTCCATGGCTGAGGTTAGGTCTCGGCTGGCGCATCTGGTGGGCCGGGCTGAGACGGTCGGAGAGGAAACGGCCGCTCTGACTCAGCGGACAGACGCTGTGGAGAAAGAGGTGGCTGAGGTTCAGCGACAGACGTCGGACCTGTCGGAGAAGCTGGAGTCCAGTCTGACAGAGTGTGGGAAGAGACATGAGGAGGTGGAGCAGCAGGCAGTGAACCTGGAGGTGAGGACGACTCTACTGGAGAACCAAGATCACACAGCAGTGACCAAAGACATGAAGAAACTGGCTGAGCAGATGGAGGAGATGAGAGAGAGGCTGGTGCTGGCTGAGAGTGATGCTGCGAAGGCTAAGATCACCAGGGATGACCTGCAGCAGCAGTCTCAGAACATAGAGAACAGAGCCCAACTGACTGAGACTGACCAGATAGCTCTACTGGACAGACTCACTTCGTTAGAGAATAGATTTGAAGCTAGTTTTCCTGGCAGTGCTAGCAAACCCCTGAGGAGTATTTCTTCACCATGACTTCATGTTTTTTTTACCCAAAATTATCTTTGAACACTTCAATACGCTGCTGACTGAGATATATTATCACTATAATAGCTATGGAAGTGGAGTTGAGTGTTCTAGGCCTGTGCCTGTCTGAGTGCCTTGCGCTGTCTTCTCTTCTTGTTGAGCCACAGAGTGCCCAGGATGCAAGTCCAGGTAGCAATGGCCAGCTGCAGTGGAGAGAACAGGTCACACTACAGCCACAGGCTGGGAACCACTCACGTTCCTCCTCCCAGCAATAGTGACAGTGTTGAAGTAGACTTTCCATCCTCTCAGAGCGGCCACCTCGGCTGCATTCTCAGCTGCCATCCTGAAACGTTCCAATAAATGCACACCATGGACGAATACACGCACTTACGACATGGAACAAGACAAAGTCTCAATTCTCACCTTCTCCTCTGCAGTATACACCTCTAATACACCCCTGGGAACTTTGCCCGGCCCACAGAGACACTGCTCCACTCTTCGGAGAACCAGCACAACAGAGAACGGCCGAGGGGGCGTGGCTCAAGTGAACTCTTTTTAGTGCCCACCTCCCACGTGTGCTTCAACCAGAGCAGCTAGCGAGCAGCCATGCAGAGTGATGACGTGAGTTGCCAGCTGTACGGATGTCGTGAGCTGTGTGTGTGCGTGTGTATTGGTAGGTGGTGTGGGGAATCATTAGGAACTCCTTCTGCTCCTTCAAAACCAAGTGAGTTGTTGTGTAGTTTCATTGCCTCTGAGGTGTGTGGTCACGTGACAGGACACGAGAGAACACATTCTGTCGGAATGAGTTCAATGTGACTGGTCTGTGTTCGCGGCAGGCCTGCCCCTTGGCCAACAGTCGCTATGCCACCATCAGGGAACATGAGGGTGTGGTCTATCTGTATATGAAGACCATAGAGAGAGCTCACCAGCCGGCACGCATGTGGGAGAGAGTCAAACTGAACAGAAACTATGAGACTGCACTGAAACAGGTACGTTTACTCACAAATTGCTAGGGGTTCACCCCCTGCTTGTCTATCGTTGACTGCAGATAGATACTCACCTGATTTACTGGCCCAAATTCCTCACACACAAATGCAAGCAGAGATTTACCAAGATCACCCAGGTACAGGTCCACCCTACACCTGATACTGTGTGCTATAGTGTTATGATACTGACTGGTGCAGTACCTGATTCGGATGAGGAGACTGAACCTCAAGACTCAGTAAGACTTCTCTCTCTCTGTGTGTGTCACTACCGTTACCTGGTGTGTGTGTGTGTGTGTGCAGGAAGAAGCTGGTTCCTCTCAACAAGAAGGTGGAGACCAGAGAGAGGAGAAGAGAGGTAGGTGTTTCTTGTGACTCCTCCCACCTCACGTGACCACACCCCCAGGACAAGGCCCTAGTGGCTGCGAGGATCGACACTGCTATTGAGAAGGAGCTGCTCCAGAGACTCAAGAAAGGAACAGTGAGTGTGTCACCCTCCCACCCTACCGTATGACCTGTGGGTGTGGCCAATGTAGTATGGGGAGATCTACAATTTCCCAACCACTGCTTTTGAGACGGCACTGGACTCTGCTGAGGTTGAGGACGATGAGGTGGGGGTGTGGCCAATGATGTAATGGTATAATCAGTGTGTCCTAAAGGAAGAAGAGGAGGAGGTGGAGTATGTGGCAGAGGAGGAGTGTGAGGAGAGTGATGTCAGCGATATAGAGGTACAGTCCACTCTAGTCTATCTTACTGTGTTCAACTGAGGGTTACAGGAGTGGGCGAGGGGAGAGGAGGAAGAGGAGAGTGAGGAAGAGGAAGAAGCTGTGGCACGAAAGACTCCTCGTATTGAGATTGAATATGAAACTGAACTGCCATCATCATCCAAACTCAAAGTCAATATTTAATTTTTTTACACTGACAATATATTCACACAATAAAGGCTGCTAATGAGAGGAGTCATTTCCTGCGTCCCCTCTGTCTTTTGCCAGCCGATGCACCAGTCTTGGCGCTCCTCACTAGTCCCTGGAACTGGCCTGACAGCTTGGCTCTCTTCCTTCTGTTCAGCTTCTGACCCAGGAGAGGGACATAGGCATAGGGGTCCGGTTTACCTTTGATCTTTACATCACCACGAGCTTTCTGTAGATTAGTGCGTCAAGTTTTCATATTGTGGCACACATTCATACAAGTGGTTCTACCAACGGTCTGACCTTTGCCCTATACTCTGAGCCATAGTTGAAGTCCATCTTGTCAGGCTGCTTGCGATGGATCCCTTTTCCTCCTCCCCTCGCCCCGCCCACCTCTGACCCCTCCTCGGTTGACTCCCTCTTCCTCTTCCTCCTCCCTCCCTGCCACACAACCAGCCATAGAGTCAGTGACAGAGACAAGACAATGCTACCTCTGTGTCATCTAACTCCATCTTCTCCTGTGACTGCTCCCCTGCAGCAAACAGTTGTGAGACAATAGACAATGATGTCGGATCTACTTATGATATTGTCAAAGAATGAAGGATGGGGTTCACTTTAGATTCCCTACACAGACCACTCCCACAGTCTCACCAGGTTCAGATGGCTGGTCAGAGATGAGCAGTTTCCCGTCAGCTGAGGTTGGAAATGACTCTCCAGCTACCTGTGACTTCATTATCTGGACTGGGTGTGTGGCTGGAGAGAGAGGAGAGTGAGAGGTCAGAACCAGCAGTACACCACAGACTCACAGGAGATCCTGGCAGCCAGGGACCTGTCCAGGAAGTCAACTGGGTCTCCTCCACCGCTGGACTCCCGGATCCACGACCCCCTCTTCCCTCTCTCCTCCTCTTCATCCTCGCTGCTCTCATCAGGAGCAGTCTTCTTCCGCTTCACTCTCTCACTGGTCTTCTTGATGTGCGCCAGCAGTCTCTGGCCTCTGGCTGGAGTAACACTGCTCACCATCTCAAATCTACAGCCACACACAGTGAAAGACACCAGCTCTGTCTGTACTATATACAGTTGAACCAGAGAATAAAGTCTTACCCAAACTTGCGACACAGTCTCTCAAGAATGACGCGAGCCTTCAATCTAAAGTGACTCTTTGGGTCCGCACTCCAGCAAAGGACTCCCCTTATCAGCTCCTCCAGATGAGGAGACAAGTCGGCAACGGGGAGGACCCTGATCGTTATCTTGATGAACCCGAATGCTGCCTTGACGACCTCCCGACGTTTAGAGGAGAGGAGGGCTGTCATGGAGGTCAGTAGCTGACTCACCAGATGAGTGCTCACCACATCTGCAGGTGCAGACTGGCGGTGGTAGAGAGGAGAGAGAGAGAGAGAGAGGGACAGACCTTTGAACTCAAAGAGAAGTTTGGAGAGAGAGATGATGGAGGCCGAGACCAGGTGAGACGAACCAGCCATGCCGGCCAGAACCACTCCAACATACTGAGTCAACGACTCTGTCACAGGAGGGAATGTGAAACCAAATTGTGGGCAAATTTTCCCCCAACCAGAAATCGATGTGCCAGTAGTCAATGTAGAATAACAAAACTCATAAAAAAACTTGGCTGTATACATTTATTTGTAGGTTTGTTATCATTGCTCAAAGCACAAACAGGCAGCTGTATACATACCTTCTGGGCTGAGGCCATAGCAACGCTGTGCAGCGTGCCCCATCCTCACCAACAGCTGAAAGGCCATCGCTCGGCATTTCTCATTAGTCTCCTTGGTACACAGGATCACCTGACATCATTGTGGGGGCCACAGTGAGATCACATGCAGATCACATGCAGATCACATGATCCCCTACCTCAGGGGTGAGTGTGTTGAGGAAGTGGTGTGAGTCGTGTCCAACGTGATCCACCAGACACAGGAGACAGCGGAGCCGGGGCTGAGAGGGGAACACCACTACCTCGGTCCCTCTTTGATTGCCACACAGACCTTCTTGGAGGCAGGGGAGGAGGTAGAGAGAGATCCACACAACAGAGACATCAGCTGCAACAGATTCTCCCGGACAAACGTCTTCTGAGGCTGGCCTTCACTGGTCAACACTCGCTCCAGAACCCTGTAACACTTCTTCTGGACTCTGCCATCCACACTCTGTGGACATGGGAAGAGGTAGGGAGGAGGGTGAGTGAGGACTCACATCGAGAAGTGGAGACACACTGTCCAGCAGGTCCTGGAGAGGAGAGAGAGGGAGAGCGGTTGCCATGACAGCCACCAGATCCAGCAGTCTGTATCTGAGTCCAGTGAGGGAGAAAGGTGAGGCGGAGTCACAGGTCAGAGGGACTCACTTCTTCCCAGGTGTGAGGTTGGGGAGGGAGAGGTTGGTGAGGGCTGAGGAGGAGAGGGTGGTGACGAGGGAAGGGTCTGTGATGGATATGTAGGCCTCCACACACTGCAGGACTGCCAGTCTCACTCCCTCCTCCTCTTCCTCCTCCTCGCTGGTGTACAGGTTGAACAGAATGGGAAGATAGTTTTTGGAGAACCTAGCGACCACACCCACTTCCTCCTCTGCACGGACACAGATGTCACAACAGATCTTTCCCCGCGACCTCTCACCTTTCCCTCGACAAGACTCCACTAGTTGCCTGAGAGATGTTGCTATGGTGATCCGTAGCTGGGGCTTGGCAGTGAGAGCAGTGCCGAGAATTCGGGCCAGACCCGGGAATGAATCTGGGACGTCCTGGGGACCTCGGCAGAACCCGGGCAGCAGAGACCACACCTATGCCACGCCCACAGTGATGTAATCCTCAACAAAGAGTAGTACCTGATGGTAGAGTGTTGTGTAGAGTTTGGCAGCCATTTTCTTCCCTGCCCCCTGGTACCTCTCACCTGAGGAGGAACATCACAACTGCACATGGAGGAGTGGGGGACTGGCCAATTACGGTCAACTCTCTTTAAGTCAAAGTGAACTAATATTGTACCAGTATTCCTGAGTGTGGTGGCTATAGGGAGGAGATGATCTCTGAAGAACGCCAGCCGCGAGTGTGAGATGTGGTCTCTGAGGACAGGCAGGAGCCAGCTGGTCGGGAGCTCTGGAGGATACCTGTATACAGACGTACATGCGGGTAGGGATGCAGAGAGTGTTGAAACAGGAGGAGGAGGAGAGGGAGAGGAAGACTTACACATCTCCACCAGAGTCCAGGTCCAGAGGAACATGAGTCAGCACCACCCTGTGAGAAACAGTGAACAGGTCTTAAGTCTGGCTCACAATCAACTGGAGAACAGTTCTTCCAAAGGGGCCAATGAAACATTTTGCATGCTGAGCCAATCCTACAGCTATGCATACTCTGGTCCCATTGCAGCAATGGCAGTTCCGAGGGCCTCTTCCAGCTGACTGGAGAGGGAGAAGCCAGGGAGGGAACGGAGGGACACCAGAGCCGGCAGCTGCTGCTGGGACAGTGGTGGGAGTGGGGAGTGAGGGAGGGGAGGGAGGGTGTCTACCTGTGCCATGACCGAGTGACACTTGTCCCCAGCCACTCTGTGGAACACTGCCAGAGTCTTCAGAACCTGTCTCCATGACGACCGGTACTTGAACTCCAGTCCTTTCACCACAGCCCTGGAGACCACACCCACCACTGACAGATTGACCAATCAGCCAGGGGCTCCACTCACGTGTACATGTCTCCTATTTGCTGTAGTTGAGACTTGGAGCAGCTGTCCAGCGAAGCAACGTGTGGTCCAACAACAGTAGTCAGGAGATTCTGGGAGAGAAGGCAGGAGTGAGATAGAGAAGAGAGGTCTAGGGGGTCACCTGGAGAGCAGCAGCAGTGGTGTCAGTGACAGTGGAGCTGTGGGAGACCAGACAAGAAACTGCAGCCGAGAAGAACTTGACAAGATGAGCCAGACACAGCTCCTGGTCCAGTCTGCAGGGGAAGAATGGTAATCAGGTGAGATTGAAGTTAACAACAATGTGTGACTGCTGGCATAATGAAAAGCACTAAAGTGCAAACCCTCGCCACACTATATAGAAATGTGGAACCCCATACACAAGTGTGGCACCACCACAATTGATGGTCTTGACCATAGAACAGCACCATTTCCAGGTTGAAAAAAATGGTCAGCCCCATTTCTGTTTGAGGCCCAAAAAATATAAGGTTGAAAAATTGCCAACCTTTCATCTCTCTATTAATTTTCGTATTACCCGTGGATTGTTTAGTGCAAAAAAAAACAACTAAGGTTGGGAAAAAAATTTTTTTAAACGCCCAACCCTTCATCTCTCCAGACAGAGTCTACGGACGCAGTGCTATGCCGAACTATACGCTGCCCTTTGAGAAACGTGGGTCAGTGGTAGATTTGTGGGTAAGGGGAGGAACCAGAGCTGTTCCCAGCCAATGCTCTGGACCACCTGACACTTTAGTGCGGGATCGGGCACCTATGGTGTCAGTCCCCACGACTCTAACCACCTAGCCACTCGGGGGCTGGCCTGGAGAATGTGATGAAAAAACGTTCCATATATGCCAACACTCCTATTACATCATTGTAAAAAAGGCGCACACACCCGGGATTCGAACCAGGGACCTCACGATCAAGAGAGGGGGGTGCTTATCCATCAGACCACCACCCGTTACTTGAGTGGGAACAGTGTAAATTAAAAGCACTAAAGTGCAAACCCTCGGCGAAGTAGCTCGCAGAGAGTCTGACACGGGCTAGCTACAGTAGTAGATTGCACGCGAGAGTCGATACACGCCATTCGTTGTGACTTCTTGTGCCTTCAAGACAGGCGGACCCCGTCGAGGTAAGCCTGTGCTAAATATAAGCGCATGCGCATTATCCGCCAGCGATAAATGGCGACTACCGGCATTAGCCATACAATGCTGGAAGCGCTCTAGCTCTGCAACGGAGCATTTTCAGAGAAAACTCCACATATTTTCTGACCTTCGTCGCCCGTTGGGTAGATGGTATCGTTTCTGGGACGAACAGACATTCGAGAGGTGAGATGTAGAGTAACAGACACACACACACGTACACACACACAGACAAACCCAACTACTGTAACCCTCGCTGCGCATGCGCGCCGAGGGTTTAATGATGAAGAGTTGACCTGGCTAGTCTGGTATGAGCTGCCATCATGACAGTAAGCCAGGCCTGGAGTAGCTGCCAGTCTTCCCGTCCTGGCTGGTGGTCATACAGAGCCTGCACACAGGAACCAGTGAGGAGGGAGGGAGGAGGATGTGTGGCTCACAGAGATGATCCTGGCTGTGAGAGAAGAGGTGAGCTCCTGAGGTCCTGCCTGAGAGGTCAGAGCTCCATGCAGAGTGCGGAGACAAGTAGTTCGAACCATCTGCCACGTTTGAGATAGAAGATTATTAGTACACGAGAACCAAACTCACTGTACTGCCTAGTGTCATGGTCTTCAGAACTGCCTCACACAGAGACTTGACATGCTGGCAAGGAGAGATGTAAGAGAGATAATATTAGCTGAGGGAGTGGGTTCACACCAGAGCGGGGAAGTTGGCCAGGCATTCTCGCAGCATTCCCAGGACATGGAGCGTGGCTGTCTCTCCTCCTGTCACGTGGAACACGTCACCTCACCTCACCTCTCTCTGAGTAGACTCACCTCTGTCAATGACATGTCTGCAGTGTCTGGCAGTGGGTGGAGCCGCAGTGTGGGGTTCTCCCGAGGCAGACCCTTCACGGAGCATTGCCACCACCGCTGCCTGTGCTGCCTTCCTCAGCTGCACAGGAACAGGAGTGCCACCAGTGTCCAGTCATTTGTAGCTGCCTGACCTTGGGCTTGGGATGGACGGTGAAGTTGAGAATGTTCTGGAAGACTTTCTGACAGTGGCTGTCACTCCAGACACTCGCTGGCTGGGCCTCTAGTAGGAGACCCAGAGCCCTTACCAGCTGGGGAGAGGATGTGGGGGAGATGTGAAAATGGAGGGAGGGCAAGACTCACTGATTTGAGGAGAGCAGTAGAGGAGCTAGTCTCATGTCTTGTCAGTTGCTCGGTGAGTATCTTGCAAGAGGTGCTGTACTTGACCTGCAGCACTTCACTAGGTAGACTGCAGAGGACGAGAGAAAGGTATTAAGTAATGTGTGAAAAAGTTTGCTACTACAGAGAGACCTGGGTATGAGGAGACACAAAAGATAGCAAATGGCAGCCACCGACTTCTCGTCATCACATGACTCCAACACTGACATCTGGAAAGAGTGTTAGAGAGATTGTACAGGGAGGGTGGGTTGGTCTGCACACCAGAGCTCCATAGTATTCAGTCTCTGTGTTCCTGCCGTCCTGAGACCTCACAACATCCGACACGGCTGCCAACACTGCACAGATCTGCAGGAGACAGAGATTGTATGTGTGAGATGTGTGGCTGACTGGGTCCCACCACTCGATGACTCTCAGTTGGAGAGTTCCATAGTTTCCTGACAGTTCCAAAGACTGGATGAGAAGTCTCAATCAGAGTCAGAGCAGAGCTGGAGGCTGCACTGGTTGTTCCTGCACTACTGGAGATCTCCAGGTCCACATCTCCATCTCTGAAGACAGTAAAGGGACTCGGTATGGTGAGCGGCTTGCAGCCTAGCCTCGCTGACCTGTCCAGCTCCTCCTGAGTGGTGTGAAGCCTCGCCAAAGCCTCGGCAGTCAGCGGAGCGGAGGCCCTCTTATCCCGTGACAAATGGTCTCCGAACTTTCCTCGAGCAGCCTGTCTGTGCGAGACGTCGCTGGGGTTGCTGAGACCGCTCTGGCCTTTCCTCCACCGCTTCCCCTTCGCTCCCTTCACCCTCACTCTCCCTTTACCCATCTCCACGTGGATAGTTTACGGAGATTCCCAGAATAAATTACGGACTTTCTGGTGCGCATCAAAAGGAATCGACAAAGTTTGCCGCACTTTCCAGTCCCCCCGCCAGTGTCCTGCAGCGCGTAGAGAGACGTACATGGTCGAGGATGAGTGGGCCAGTCAGAGATGTGAAGGTTAGGGCTGCGAACATAATCATTTGTTCTTATGCAGAGACCCTGCGGATCCTTGTTCTGCAGGATTTTTGGTTCAAGCAATTACGCAAAGTTGAGTTTGGGGATCCAGGCGTTCCCGGCGATGCTCGTGTGTCTCTGCTGGCTTGCTCGTCTCTGCACGGCCTGACGTTTGTGGCTACCCGCATTGGTGAGCCCTCTCAGATGCCTTGGTAGATAGTTGGTCTTGTCTCTGTCGCCAACAGGACTGTGTGTCTTTGAGACAGCGGTGCTGGATGAGGTGAACAAGACTGCCGGCGGTCCCCAGAGCTCCCACGGTCTGTTACCAGCTGCTCTCTTTCTCACTGTCAGCCTCCCTGCTCTGCAGTGGACGCGTCACTGCTGAAGGCCAAAGAGTTTCGCACACCATCCCTGCCCCTCCACCTCTCCCTTTCCTGTGACTCACTCACTCTCTGCCTGGCCTGGAGAGATGACTCCAGAATATCTCTCAACTTCTTTGATGTCAGAGCAGTCGTCCAGGCCACTGTGAGAAATTCCTGTCCTATTTCCCAGTTTTCAGTTCCTCGTGTCTCATCCAGAGCTCATCGCTGCAGCCATTCTGCAGTATAGTCCCAAACACTATGCAAGGTTGGCAGGGAGTGGTGTGTGGAGGAGGTAGTGATGTATCTGTCACCTCAGGAGCTGGTCTGTGTGGACTGAAGTGGAACCCCACATCTCCAGACCTGTTAGCCGTCTCTCTCTCTTCCGGGGGAGTCTATGTACTGGAGGTCAAGGAAGACGTGAAGGTTCTTGCCAGCAAGACTGACATGGGGGCCACCTCTTGTGAGCTATGTAACTATACCTTGTCTCCTTTTGTTGAGATTGCATGTATAGTTTCAACTTTGTGGTTGTGTGCCTTTTCCACTACCCAAGTGTAGTTTTTGCGAGAGGCTAGGAGTAAAATCACACAGTGCATTCTCAGCCTCTCCGCCTCTCTTTCTCTGCTGCCTCTCAGTGTGCTGGAGTCCAAAGGGTAAGCAGCTGGCACTGGGACTGAAGAATGGCAGTGTTGTTCAGTACAACCACAAGGTGCTGTACCTATGCTCTGTGCACTACTTGGTCTGATTGATACCGTATCACCTGCAGACTAGTACACAGAAGTGCCATGCCTGTCCTGACGCCTTTGGCGGAGAACCCCAGCAAGGTAATCAGGTGTAGGTTTGAGCTCTCTCACACACACCCTCTTCTCTGTCGATAGTTGCTGACCTTCACTGGGTATCCACGTTCCTGTTTGCTGTTGTCTTCACCCCGGTCTCTGGGTCTGGAGCCCCCTCCTCTCTCTTCCTGTCCACCCCGGTGAGTGAGACCACAGCACCTCATGTGGTGTGTCTGCCTATCTGGGCTCCCTCAACAGAAAGATGGCCCCGTGGCATGGACCAACTTTGAGGATGTCTACTATGGCGGCAGTAACAGATCTTACCACTTTTACTTCACATACCTCTCTCCATGGTAAGGTGGGGGACATCAGTGAAAATGAGCACTTGCCATAACCATTCAGTGCAGTCCTGTTTGCCTGTGTGTGTCTATCTGTCTACAGCTATTCTACAGGATTGCCTTACATTTTGGTGTGTATATAGGAGAGTATGTTTATTAACCCTCACCTACACAAACTGAAAATGAAGTATAGAATTTTGAGGTGTTTGGTAAGAGATCCTGTCACGTGATGCAGGAACCTGATGATGACATCATCGGCGAATAGCATGGAGACAGTGGTGTTCAGCCAGTTTGGCAGCGGAGGGGCTGACTGGGAGCAGTGGGAGCTAGACGACACCGGCAGGGCTGAGATACCACTCAAAGATGGAGAGGACACCCATGTGGCAGGCATGGGGCTCAGTCTCTGCTCCACCTGCGATGTCCAAATAGGTGAGTGGGAGAGATGTAGGGAGAAGGTGTGTCGTAGAGTTTCTCTGCCTCTCCAGACGACAACCTTGCCATTCCTCCCTCTCCCCTTCTCCTCCTCTACTCGACTGCCGGCGTCCTCTGCCCTTTCTGGCTGGTCCACCGAGACCAGCAGGCTGCGGTTGTGACTCCGCCCACCCCACTGCCATCTGGTCCACCACGTCTAGCGACACAGCCCCAGCTGCAGTCGGTGGCTCCTGGAACTCAATTCACTGCTGGAGCCATTCTGGCCTCATCTGCTGCCCCAGTCTCCTCTCAGACTCTGCCTGCCACTCCAGCTCCCACCACTGCCTTCCCCCAGCAAGCCCAGTCAACGCCATTTGGTCAAACAGTTTTTCGACTCCCACCCCCTGCCAGTGGTCAAACACCTATCACTAGTTCGGTTCGACCCCCACCCCCTGCCAGTACCATTGCTTTTAGTCAAACACCTACCACTGGTTCGGTTCGACCCCCAGCCCCTGCCGGTACGACTCCATTTGGTCAAACACCTACCACTGGTTCAGTGTGGCCCCCAGCCCCTGCCAGTACGACTCCATTTGGTCAAACGCCTACCACTGGTTCAATTCGACCCCCAGCCCCTGCCAGTACGACTCCATTTGGTCAAACACCTACCACTAGTTCAATTCGACCCCCAGCCCCTGCCGGTACGATTCCATTTGGTCAAACGCCTACCACTGGTTCAATTCGACCCCCAGCCCCTGCCAGTACGACTCCATTTGGTCAAACGCCTACCACTAGTTCAATTCGACCCCCAGCCCCTGCCAGTACGACTCCATTTGGTCAAACGCCTACCACTGGTTCAATTCGACCCCCAGCCCCTGCCAGTACGACTCCATTTGGTCAAACGCCTACCACTGGTTCAATTCGACCCCCAGCCCCTGGCAGTACGACTCCATTTGGTCAAACGCCTACCATTGGTTCAATTCGACCCCCAGCCCCTGCCAGTACGACTCCATTTGGTCAAACGGCTACCATTGGTTCAATTCGACCCCCAGCCCCTGCTGGTACGGTTCCATTTGGTCAAACACCTACCACTGGTTCAATTCGACTCCCAGCCCCTGCCAGTACGACTCCACTCGGACCATCAGATACTTCCAAAAGGAGTTCACTAGGTGTCACAGTGAGACCGGTGCACCCTACATCTCAGCAGCAACCAGTGTCGGCTCCTGGGACGGTGAGACCTCCTCAACCCACTGCGCACCAGACTTTGCCTCCTGTCTCAGTTACTACTTCTGCTGTACCGCACCTCTCACCTCCTCCTCTTCCTCCCTCATCCAAAGCCTCTGCCTCAGGTAAGCTGCTATGGGCTGGTACTGTGTTGCATGTAAATTGCGGTGTGCTGTGGTTTAATGTGTAACATGTTCCCCAGTGCGCCAGTCAAAGGATGATTCTAGGCAGCTGGAGGCTACCTTTTCTGCTCACATTAGAGAGGAGGTGAGAGGTCCCACCCACCTGTTGCCGTAGTAATGTACACCCGTGCAACAAAAAAACCTGTCACGAATCAGAGCAAGTTTTTGCGAAGTTTCTCGAATGCTGTGTGCATTGTGTGTATTCAGGAAAAATACTTGTCGCTACATGAAATTTGCTAAGTTGTTTGTCACGAATGTGTTTACTTAACACTCCCCCCATCTTCCGTCAGATTGACAGGTTTGTGATGGAACTGGAGGATTTCAAGGAGAGCGTGGAGGGTGTTCTGGGGGAGGGGTGGGAGGAGGGAGAGAGGGAAAGGGGAGAGGTGGCAGGGCTCGGGAGTGTGCGAGATGCAGTGGAGGTGAGGGAGGAAGAGGAGGAAGTGGAGAGAGATGTCCAGGCAGCTGTCAACTGTGTGAAGGTAAGAGAAACAGTGAGAGAGAGTGGGGTCCATGTGTTCCCTGCAGGAGCTGGCTGAGACGTGTGACCAGCTCAGAGACGAGGTTCTCAGAGGACTGGAGCTGAGTGAGAAGGCCAGGTTTGTCCTCGCCCTAAGTGGAGTCTGTGTGGACTCAACTCTGACCTGTGCAGGGTGAGTGTGAGGAGGAGAGGAGACATGGAGCATGCCTTGCGGCAGAAGGTATATACTCTTTTGGTGTTATGTGTTGAACTTGAACGTCCTGTGTAGGTACGACCGTTGGATCCCACGAACACCAAGAAACTCAACGACATTCGTGAGCTCTTTCTGAGAGTGGATCAGAAGACAGGGTTAGTTAGTTCACACCTTCCCTCTTCCTCTGTGACCTGTCTGCGGTGTCCAGGGAGGTGAACGGTCAGCTGGATGCTGAGATACAGAAGAGGAGAATGGACTCTCTGCGGGGAGGAAGGTGAGAGGCAAAGGTAGGAAAGCGGTGGTGCTGACTCAATCATCATTTGTGCAGGTCTGTGCTGAGACCTCCATCCATACAGACTGTCTATGCCAGTCTTAGAGACCACAACAAGATTATCAAACTCCAGGTGAAGTGTGTTTGGTGGGGGAAAATTTGATGTCAGTTACTATTTCTTCATATTTAAAGTATAGTGAGTTTGCGTGCGCGCACGCGTGTGTGTGAGTTTGTGTGTGTACGTGGGTGCAGGAGGAGAGAGCAGCTCAAGTGGTGAGGGACGTGAAGAGGCTGCGGTTCATTCCAATGTCATGGACCCCAGACCAGTGCAGACTCCCTCCACCAGCCATGCCGACACAACGGCTGACAGAGCAGGGGGGACATGGAGGGGAAGGGAGAAAAGATGGAGGTCCTCAACCGGAGAAACTGGAAAAGCTGAGGGAGTACCTGATGAACATTGAGAAGACTCCAGTGAGGAGAGTGGGGGCAAGTGAGGGACCCTGACTCTCTCTGGGTTGTCTGATATAACAGTTCCTCTCTCTCAGGACCACTGCCGTCTGCCACTCCATCAGTTCTCTCAGGTTAGCTCTGACTAGGAACTATTGTGTGTACGTACCATTCGTCCTCCCACAGTCCAGTCCTCTGGCCGATCTTCTCCTGCCAGCTCCATTCCTCACTACCTTGTGTCCGGGAGCAAGCCACATCTCTATGAGAAGACCAGGAGCTCCTTGGCTCATGTGTCAGCCCTGACCCCCCAGGACTCCAGCACATATCTCGACTCACAGCCTACACCTGAGACTTCCCGCTCCCCTCCTCCCTCCCCTTCTCCTCATCCCCCCTCTCTTTCCCCTCAGTCTATTGCCCCTGCCTCACTTCCACCTCCGTCTTTTGCACCACCTCCTTCTGTAAGCTTTAGCAGTGGCAACACCATCTCATGGGGAGTTCCTACCACTGCTGGAGGGGGTGTGGTCAGCTCAGGCCTGAGCGGGGCAGAAGGTCAAGTTAACCTCTCTTCCACCTCGAAACCCGGTGACAGTGGCAGTGGAGTCGTCATGCCGTTTCCTCTCTCCCTCCTGTCTTCTTCCTCACACCCACCGCCATCATCCAGACCAGTGATCTCTGCCCAAACCCCAGCTGGAAGATCACCTTTTGCCTCCACACCTCTCACCTCCCAGACTGTGGCGCCTTCACTGTTCAAACCTTCTCTGGCTCACTCTCCTAAGGAAACAGCTCTCTTACTTGGATATTCTGGTCAACCCAGCACCAAGCCTCAGGGAACTGTCTTTTCACTTGGATCTCCTGGTCAACCCAGCACCAAGCCTTTTCCTTCATCTGCGACTGGTGGAGGCCCTGTCTCTTTTTCTTCCCCATTCGTGTTTGGAGCCACTTCACAGAGCAGCATTTTGGTCAGTTGGTGTGATTTTTGATGTTTGATTTTGGTTTGAACCTGTGTTCAGTCCCTCTCCCAGGTAGCAGGAGGACCAACATTTTCACCCTCCACCACTTCCTCCAGTCAGCTAAACCGTGAGTATCCCACACTCTGTGTACATGAAACATGTGTAGTGCCCCCTTCTCTCTATTCCAGAGAGTGTTGGTAGCTCTGTGTCTCCTAACCCTCTGCCCAGCGTTGTTAGTTTCTCTCAGACTGGTGTTGGTAGCAGTCGGAGCAGTGGAATAGGCACACCTACTACAGTTACTTTACCAGCTCAGTCTTTTGCATTAGGCTTCAATACCAGCCATGCAGTGGTGTCTACCTCACCATCTTTGGCTACTTTGGCATCTTCTAAACCACCAGTGTCCACTGTGGTATCGTCCGCACCACCAGTGTCCACTGTGGTATCGTCCGCACCACCAGTGTCCACTGTGGTATCGTCCGCACCTCCAGTGTCCACTGTGGTATCGTCCACACCACCAGTGTCCACTGTGGTATCGTCCACAACACCAGTGTCCACTGTGGTATCGTCCAAACAACCATTGACTGTGACTAAACTGCCATTGTTGTCTGGCACACCATCGGTACCTCCTACAGTATCTTCCACACCATCTCAGACTGGTGTTATGTCGACTGCTCCACTGCCAGCTGGTGATGGGGACTCCACACCACAGACAACTACGCTGACATTGACTAATGCATCAACCACTCCCTCAGTGGCTCGTGCGGTTCCTCCTGCAACAGTTACCTCTGTTTCCCTACCATCTGGCCATCCACAGACCTCCACAGGCACAGACGAGATTGAAGATGACATGGATCAAGGTGAGCATATGAGTCACCATTTCTACAGGAGTAGACTCTTCATGATGTGTCTAATATACCACAGCTGATGTGGTGTCTCAGTCCCTGGCCCCTGTGTCCTCAGTAGGTGGTGGAGGGTTTTTTGGAGGACTCGGTAGTCTGGGTTTGGGAGGAACACCACGATCCTCGACTACTGCCAATCCTTTCGGCTCCTTTACCTCAGGTGCAACCTTTCCCACCTCATTGTACATGTTTGTGTGTATTGATGTTTGTGTATAGGTGTGGATAGCACTACTCGTGTGAGCTCTGCAGTGAGTTGTTATAGTAGGTCTGTACGCTGTGTCACTTAATCCCATTATATAGCAGCTGTTTTCGGGAACTGGAGGACTTGTAACTTCCACTGGTGTTCTGGGAGGCAGTCCAATTGGCGGTCTTGGAATTGGCTCACCTGGTGGTTCTGGAAAAGCCCCATTTACTCTGGGTTCACAACCTCAGTTTGGCCAGGGTCCAAAGTTTGGCCAGGGGTCTGTGTTTGGAGGTATAGTATATTATAGTCTGTCTTGTTTCTAGAAGATCCTACAGCACCTTCTGCAGGTGGTGGACCTAGTCTTGGTGGACCTTCCTTAAACCTTGGAGGAAGGTTTGCTTCTGCAGCTGCAAGGTGAAGGGCCCTCCCTGTCTCTGGTATTAATGTAATCCTTTCTTCCCCACCAGGATGGAGGACATTTCATTTGGAGCACTAGCCGGCCAAGGAAGTGGTGGGTTTGGCAGTCACCAAGACCTTGGTTTTAGCTCTGGGCCTAGCTTTCCTCCCAGTTCAATGTAAGTGCACAGTGTTTTTTGCGATGGCTTATTTCTACTCTGTTCGCAGGTCAGGATCCTCGTTTTCAGGCTGGAGGCAATGAACAATGCTAGTGTTACGTAATATCTGTATGCGCATGCGCGTACACCTATTTTTCGCGCGTCGGAGTCATGGCTACCGACCGCGCATGCAGTCGATCCCGCGCGGCGGATGAGCTCGCCAACAAATTATGGTAAAGACAAGAACGATGATAGCCCACGTGATTCTTGGGATATTATTGTTTTTTGAGGGGCTGAGTAAAAAAGGTATGAATGAAGCTAAAGGTGAATGCAAACAATCTGAAATGTTGACTTTAGAGAGTTGTCGCCGCAAGGTTTTGTATGTTGATGAAGTAACCCAGGATTCTGCTGTTTTGTACTGGAGAAGTGAAAGAGCAGGAGAGTCCAAGGTTTGTGACTTGTTTCTTCGTACCTGACACTGCAGTACATTAACAACTGGAAAAGCTTGTTCTCAACCCACATGCATAATCAAAAAAATCCATGACCACAGTTTACCATAGAAACCCCAATTGTTAACCCTCGGCGCGCATGCGCAGCGAGGGTTACAGTAGTACTTGGTTTTCCGTCTGTCTGTCCGTCTGTTACCACGTTTTCTGCCACCACGCGCAACAAACAGGTAAAATAGCGACACCAACGGGTTCAGCGCTACACTGGCTTGATTTTAAAAATGTCGATTTTCGTAAAAGTGCCGCGTTCAGAAGTTATGGCGTGAAAACCAAGTGAACAAGCCAATTGCTAATTAGCACTAGCTTACCTCCCCTTTATCTGTGTACCTCGGAGGCACAAGAAGTCACAACGAAGGGCATGTATCGACTCCCGCATGCTATCTACTACTGTAGCTAGCCCGTGTCAGACTCTCCGCGAGCTACTAGCGGGAGATCACGGGTAAACGCAGACTCTAAGGCCCAGCCCATCAATTAGAGGTAAAGCGCATGCGCAGTTCGCCGAGGGTTTGCACTTTAGTGCGTGCATTTACACTGTTCCCATTCAAGTAATGGTGGTGGTCTGATGGATAAGCACCCCCTCTCTTGATCGTGAGGTCCCTGGTTCGATCCCGGGAGATGTGCGCCTTTTTTTAATAGGAGTGTTGGCTGTTGGTATAACTGGGACGTTTTTTCATCACCTCTCAAGGCCAGCCCAAGTGGCTAGGTGGTTAGAGTCGTGGGGACTGACACCATAGGTGCCCGGTTCGAATCCTCGATCCCGCACTAAAGTGTCAGATGGTCCAGAGCATTGGCTGGGAACAGCTCAAATCTATCACTGACCCACGTTTCTCAAAGGGCAGCGTATAGTTCGGCATAGCACTGCGTCCGTAGACGTCTGTCTGGAGAGATGAAGGGCTGGCCGTTTTTATTATTTTTTTGGGTTTTTTTTTGCACTAAACATTCCACAGGTAATACGAAAATTAATAGAGAGATGAAAGGTTAGCAATTTTTCAACGTTATATATTTTTTGGGCCTCAAACAGAAATGGGGCTGGCCATTTTTTCAACCTATCCAGGAAATAGTGCATAACCTGCTTGATGCATGGTCAAGACCATCAATTGTAGTGGTGCCACACTTGTGTATGGGTTCCACAGTGTGCCGAGGGTTTGCACTTTAGTGCTTTTCATTGATAAAGTGCTTGGTTTAGGTCAGGTCAACCATATGTAGGTTGTGTGTGCTGGAATCAGGCAGTACATGACTCCACTTGGAACAAGAGAAGTGGACCTGGACACTGTGACTCAGTTTCTACCACGAGCAGTTGACAGAGCATTCCTCAACCATTTGAAGCCCAACTTCAACTATTCTTGTTTGGTTCTAGCTAAAGAAAAGACACGCCCACTGCTTTTCTCTACTCAATATGCTGGTCTGTATGCTGTTGGTAGCTACAATACATTGACATCAGAGAGTGGTTTCCTTTTCATACAGCCCCCGAGTCCCCAGAACAACCAGTTGTTTTGTATGAAAATGATGGCAAGCAGATAGACATACAACTGTTCCCAACCTCTACAAAATACGGACCAATAGAGTGAGAATTTCCAGAAAGGTTTCCTCTCTCTGACTATTTCTGTCCCTCTGCAGTGGGTACGAGGTCCAGTTCCACATCATTGATGGCCATACTCTCCACAGCCATGGCCAGCTGGACCTGCCAGAAGAGATCACAAGACCCAGAGGACTTCTGGCCACTGTTGAGGCAGCACACTCATCCACACACCCCGTCCCCTTCTGCCTAGTCTTCAGGAACAGCAGTAGTCTTCCTGCCAGCATCACTGTCAGCAGGGATCCACTGCAAGGGGCAGTTCGCAGTGGCACTACATATTCTGTCATCACTGTAGCCTACACTGAGGAGGTTCATGTTCAATAATAATGTCATTTTTAACATTGTCTCTATTGCAGGGACCAGGCCAAATATTGTTGTACTCTTTGAGCCCTCCATCAGATGCTTTCTCCAGTAAGTAGAGTGCATTCACATTGTAGTTAACTTGTCTGTCGTGCCTTTCTACCTCGTAGTTTACACATTCACATGTAGCAGCTACAGAATGTATTCTTCTTCCAGCACCTGAGGAGCTCCAGTCACCTGCAGTCTCTGGTACTCTGGTATGGCTTGAGAGGCACCTGCTCAAATGGAGTATGTCAGTGGGTGTGGCCAGCTCAAACATCATCCTCTTCTATTTCTTGCTTGTTGGCTGTTGTGTTGCCCCTTTGGGGAGAAGAAAATGGAGACAGTGGAAAAACATGTATGTTATGTGTGTATAATGTTTGGTGTAACATTCGTTTTTCTCTTTGCATGTATATATACAGGTCATTGGCTAACCCTGAAGATGAGAGATCATTTGTTTGTGTCAAGGAAGATGAACCACCAAGTGCTACCGTAGCCACTGTCTCCAACAATGCTGTATGCTTCACAGAGCAATCTCACGGAGGACCAGGAGTGGAGGTGCCAGCATGTGGTAGTGAGAGAGAGGAGATGACAATGGACATGGCAATGAAAGGATCCGTTGCTGGAGAAATACCGACGCCGCATGCTTCAGATCAGCAGGGAGAGCCTCCTACTGAGAGCTCCACAAATCCACGTTCAAGCAGAGGCCAGTGTTCATCTGGTGGTGAAGAACCAGGAACAAAGGGTTTCAGGGGAGTGATGAGCAGAGGTAGTGAGCCACTAGTGCCCCATGGCAGTGGTGTTGGGATCGTCCAGTCTGTGGAGCAGTCAGCAGAGGCATCTGGGAGCAGTCTGGTGTTTTATCCACGTGGTCTGTCACGTGGCTCCCTCTCTCAGGTCACATCTACTGCAGCTGACATGGCTCCAGACTTGGAAATGGATTTGTATGGCATTTCGTACTCGCTAGATGACAACTGATCAATCAGAGTCACCTATTGGAACTATTGCAGCCAACATCGCTGCATTTGATTACTGTAATTGATCAAATACAAGTAATTATAACCATCAAAATGATATCATGGGATGAATGCCAATGTATATCACAAAGTTATTGTGTTTGGCAGTGTTGGTTGCATTGTTTCGGCATTGGTAAAAGATGAACACTATAGTCAGTGTTGTTGAGGAGCTTGGTGAGACCTTGTTCGATGCCAGACTGACTCATCCAGCCAGCTCTGTTCAGGCCGAGAGCATGACCGACGGCACTCTCGGTGGAGCTGTGGGCACTGTTCACCAGCTGGTAAGTAGAGACTAGCACGCGGAGTTTCTTGATCTGAGCCATCGGGATGGAGTGTGAGCTGTAGCATGTCACCGTCTCACTGCTGCTGTTGAACTGAATGCCCAAAGACTCTATCTGCAAAGTGACATTGCAAGCCAGTTCAATGGACTCAGAACCACATATTATTAGCCACTTACCCATTCACAGGTCTGGTTGACAACAGTATCAATGACAATTTTCAGTGCGCTGGTCTCCATGGACTCGTTCCCCAGTTGCTGTTGCAGGTCGTACAGACGGAGCACTTTGTCCAGCGCAGCGATCAGTTGCACATACGTTTGACTGGTTACTATTTCATCCGAAGTGCAGTCTATTTTTTTGATATTAGATCCAGAGACTTCGGGAAGTATGCCGGGTTGGTAGCACGGGGCCAGCATCATGTGTTTAGCATAGTTCAGCCCTTCAATCACTCTTTCGGCCTCAGGAGTAGCTCTTCTCTGCCGCACATGCCCTGGCAGTCCGTCGTCGCGGGTTGGAAGTCCGGTAACTGCCTGAGCAGCTAGGAGAGCTCCAAAGAACATTGGTAGTAGACCGGCCATTGCTTCCTTCTGCAGACGGTGTCACCGTGTGATGGACGAGCAGTTGAGAATATAGATATCGCTGCTGAGAAGCTGATTGGTGATATATTGGTGATGAGCAGTGGATCCTCGCTGTTGATGCTGAATAGTTAATTCTCGCTGTTGATGTCGAGCATGCGACGGGCCCGAGCTTTTATACCGTCTCCGCCCGCGACCCGGCCAGTTAACGCGCATGCGCAGTTACGACAAATTGTGAAAGAGCCATATTTGGTCATCAAGCCCACATGCATCCTGCGTGTGCTGTGCTGTGCTGTCGTGAGGAAGATGCCGTTTTCTCCAAGTAAGTGTCCCGAGGTTGAGACACCAGGTAATGAGACGTGATTTTCTGTCACGCAGAGAGCGTGTTTTCTCCGTTGCCGCGGACTAAGCGGGCCACGTCGGTGGTCCTCCATGGAGACCCCAAGGGAAGGAACGTGTTGTACACCGTGGGTCGCTCGGTCATCATCAGAGACTTAGAGGTCAGTTCCCATTCCCTCTCACTCCATCATCCCTGCATAATGGGTGCAGAGATGGTGTGGGTTGGACAGAAGGTTCCATTTCCCTTTAGAACACAAGAAGGCATCTGCAACTGCCATTTAGGCTTCAATTCATGTCATTCTTGAGGAGATATGAAATTTTGCCTCCTGTTTCAAAATCAACTATGTCACTCTCTTTTCTCAGAACTCTGGGGAGGCGGACGTTTATACTCAGCACTCAGTGGAGGCCACAGTGGCGTGCTATTCCCCCAGTGGGTTTTACATCGCCTCTGGAGGTGGGTGTTGTGGGTTCGGGAGGAAGCCTCCACTTCCCCCCTCTCTCCACAGACGTATCGGGGAAGATCAGGATCTGGGACACCACACAGAAAGAACATATCTTGAAATATGAGTACCAGCCGATAGCAGGAGCCATCAAAGACATCGCCTGGTCTCCAGACAGCAAAAGGATAGCAGTCTGTGGAGAGGGTCGTGAGAAGTAAGCCACTCACCATCTTCTGACTATGCCTCTCCGTTATCCTGTTTCTCTGTGTGTCGGTCTGTCTGTGTAGGTTCGGTCATGTGTTTCTGTGGGACTCTGGCTCCTCCGTTGGGGAGATCATGGGACACTCTAAATTCATCAACTCCATCGACTATCGACCGAGTCGACCATTCAGAGTGGCCACTGGTGGAGAAGACAACAAAGTCTGCTGGTTTGAAGGTCCTCCATTTCGCTACAAGAATACCTTCACGGTTAGCTCCTCCCCCCACGGTGTACCCCTCCTGGTTGCTAGGACACAGTTTACCAGGGAGTTGCAATGGGAGGTGGTGTTGCTAAGCAATGTGGGGAGAGTGGGGAAGAATGTTGACATGATCTCAAGGAAACCTATTATTATCAGCCTTCTTTAATGCTAATCCTAATGATCTCATTATTTGGAGGTGATATTCATTGTGTTCTCAGGAGCATACTAGGTTTGTCAACTGTGTGAGGTTCTCGCCTGACGGGGCTCTGCTCTGCTCTGTCAGCTCTGACGGGAAGGCTGTGGTGTACGATGGGTCCACCGGGGACACCAAGGGATGTCTGGGAGGAGACAAGGCCCACAATGGAGGCATATATGCTGTGAGTTGGGGAGTGTGTGTTGTGTGGCGGGTTGTAGGGTGGCTGTATCTGCAGGTTGCCTGGGGTCCCGACAGCAAGCAGCTGCTGACTGCCTCGGGAGACAAGACTTGCAAGCTCTGGGATGTTACCACCTGTCAGGTTGTCAGGTGAGTGGTTGGCCACACCCCCATACCTAGCTGGGTAATCCTGTGACACTCTCAGTGAGTTCAAGATGGGCACTGCGGTGGAGGACCAGCAATTGGGCTGTCTTTGGCAGGGAACACACCTCCTCTCCGTCTCTCTCTCTGGGTTCATCAACTTCCTGGATGTCAACAATCCTGCCACTCCTCTCAGGGTTGTCAAGGTTGGCACACACTCGTTGTACCTCCATCGTCACTAATTATATGCACTCTCTTCTGTTTAGGGCCAGAATACAAACCTTAACTCACTGGCCTCTGCCTCTGACACGGTGTATGCCGGGAGCCTGGATGGCAGGATTAATATCCATTCTCCATTATTTTGCTAGCTCTGTAGCTGTGTCTATGTGTGTTGTTGCCTTGACTCCATTCCAAGTCACTGGGGAGTGGAATCAGGACATGTGGACCTGGTGTCAGGCCAGGGCCACACAAACTCAGTCTGCTGTCTTCAGACCACTCCCGACCTGCTCCTCTCTCTTGGACTCGACAAGAACTTCAAGTCCACTTCTCTGGCCACCAATGAGCTTGCGTGAGCCCTTCCTTTTCCTCTTCCTCATCTCCATGTGTCTTTCTGTTTCTATCTCCCTCTCCCTCCCTCTCCCTCCCTCTCCCTCCCTCCCTCTCCCTCCCTCTCCCTCCCTCTCCCTCCCTCTCCTCCCTCTCTCTCCCTCTCTCCCTCCCTCCCCCTCCCTCCCTCTCCCTCCCTCTCTCTCCCTCTCTCTCCCTCCCTCTCCTGAGCCGAATGTTTGTTTCTTCTGCAGTGAGGGATGTCTGAATCTGCCTGGACTGGACCCCACTGACATGTCTGTGGCCTCAGATGGAACTGTGGTGATTGCCACTCTAACTGAAGTAAGCTGCACCCGCCTCCAGTCCTTCTGACTATGTGACTGTTTGCAGGTAGTGCTGGCAAGGGGGGAGAAGAGAGTGGGAAGTTTGAAAGTCAACTACCAGCCTCAGGCTGTGGCTGCACACCCGACTCTGCCTGAGCTGGTGGTAGCTGGGAAGGTAAGTCAATACCGAGAGATAAGAGAGAAAAGAGAGTCTGTGGGTCTGTAGGACAACTCTGTGCACGTGTACACTTTGAGTGGGGACAGCCTGACAGAGAAGAAGTCGTTCCAGGCAGGCAAGGAGGTGGTTGCAGCTGAGTTCTCACCTGATGGAGCCACTCTGGCCATCAGCAGTGGTCGCTCCATCCTCCTGTTTGACTCAGCCAGCTATCAGGTGAGAGAGGACTCCTTCCTGTCTACCTAACCTCCTCCCCTCCCTCCCCAGCAAACCAAGGACCTGCTGTTCCACACTGCCAAGATTATGGCAATAGCCTGGTCCCCTGACTCCGCCTACATTGTGTCCGGTAGTATTGACACTAATGTCATAGTCTGGAATGCAGCCACAGGAGAGCGAGATGAAATTAGAGGTAGTGAGCCTGTTGTGATGAAGGTTTTGAGTCACTGATATTCTCTCATTACAGGGGCACACCCTCTCTCTGTAGTGACTGGAGTGGCGTGGATTTCAAACATAGTCTTTGCCTCCTGTGGCCATGACAGCTGTGTCCGTGTGTGGGAACGCTCATCAGCCTAGTTGTGTGGAAATGTGACTGACTTGCTTTAGTTTCGTTTCTAGTTTTGGTTGTTCTATTCACTCACTGTTTCTTAGTAATTATTATTATCGTGTGGACATCACACACTTCAACAGTCATCTATTGCATCACACACTTCCCCTTCTGCTCCAACTGTTCTCCTGTGTGTGATGTCACCACTCCACACATGGGGGGAGAGGGATAAACAATGAACCTTGTATACTCAGAGCCCTATTGTCTCGAGCCCTAGTGTCCTGTCCAGTAGTGACTTCTTTTTGAGATGGAGTAGTGCTGTGCACGTGTGGCCCAGTCACATAAACCACACGGTATATTATAATTATTAGTAGACCTTTTCGGCTTTCAAATAATATTGCTGTTACACATTAAGTTACCTGAACTGATACAGAGCGTTGGGAGAGCCATAGAACTCTGTGTCCCCTGAGAAGAAATGTGGCTCCACAGTGAGTCACACAGACCAGGTATATATTATTATATATACCTACTTGACCCGAAACATTCACTATCAATCCAGCACTCAACAGTTGTGTCTCTACACTCTAACATGGTTGTCAAAATGAAAATGTGAGATAGTATACAACCTTCGGCACCTTGGCTTGTTCCACTGATGCCATTCCCACCATATGGTCTGTGAACCATTCCAGTGCATCAGCTCCTGAAGAGAGGCAGAATGGGCTGGAAACATGTCATCAGTTGGACTCCAGTGCTGGAAATACCAGTGAAAACTCGCTGCACCGCCCTGCCAACCATCCTCTCTTGAGTTGGAATGCCTCCCTCAGGGTCCTGCAGTTGGCCACTGTACATCTGCATACTTAACCTCCCTTCCCTTCCTCCTCCACTACCCCCTCCTCCTCCTCCTCCACCTCCTCGCTGAAGAGAGAACCTGCCACTTTCACAGGAGATTCTGGGACCACAGTTACCTCAGTATCAGTCTGTAGAGGACTGGTCTGGAGAGGGACACTACACCTGAGAGGTCGAACAGGCCACTGCGTCTGAGATGCTCTTATGGGAGTCAAGTCATGTGACAGTCTCCTGCTCCTCCTCTCCTACATAAGAAAAGCACTGACCCTCGGCGCATGGTGACGCGCATGCGTAAGTAAACGCAGTACCACTAATTGATGGGCTGGGTTTAGTCTGACGCGGGCTAACTACACTACTAGATGGCATGCGAGAGGCGATACTCTAAAGCAGTGTAGTGCAGTGAAGGTAAGAGGATAGCTAACATAAAGACTATTTTTAGACAAACTAATGATGTCATAGAAAATCATTGCACAACTAGCAAAATGGTTTACTCTACTTGTTGCTTAGTCAAGGTAAGACATTAGTCTATTTTTAGACAAACTAATGATGTCATAGAAAATCCTTGTTTACACACCGCTATGGTACAAAGTGATGAAAATTAATACATACACACACAATCACACATGCATCGGGTGTATTTCTGTACAAGAGAGAGAGAGAGAATGAGAGGTGGTGGTGAATGAGTGGGACTAAAAATCCATTTATACGTGTGTCCCCTTGTCTGTCTCCATTTGTCTGAGAGTGTCGACGTGATCGTTCCACGTGTGGCCTCGCCCCCGATTGTACTTCTACATTAAAACATCGGACACAGGGTCACCCCATAATATGAGACTTGGTTGGCATAGAAACTCACCAAACAGCTTCTGGTGGGAGACATGGTTCTGGGGTTGTGCATGTGCATGGCAGTAGGAACAACATTCCCTCCTCTGTGGCGGGACAGCACAGGCACGTAAGAAGACAGCACCAATCAACTCGCCACTCACCTCTCTGTATTGAGGGATGAACTACTGCCAAAGTCAACATTTTTGCTTTGAGAGGTTTGGCAAGCAAAGCAAAGTCCCAGGAAGCAGAAGATGAGAGCTACGAACAGAAGAGCTCCCACCACTATCACTGCAATTCCCCAGTCAGGAACTGGGATGGAGGAAGGGAAAGAAAAAGAGAGAGCAGAAGGTAATTCTCAAAGAAAGCTGCATATCCTGGGAACTGACTGGCTTGGTTAGTCTGGGCACCATCGCTGCCAGTGACCCGTTGGCTGGAGGTGGGTAGCTGGCACTGCTCCACAGTGGTCTCAGTCCCAGTCTTGTCCACACGGGGAGTCCGAACACACGAGGAGTCCTGGCCCACCTCAGAGTAGTCTACTCTCAGACAGACCAGGTAGTGGGCTTCCTCACTCAGCCCTCCCACACACACTCTGCCATCACTGTACAGGGACTCTGGCAGGGAGTAGTTGAAGGTCTGGTAGGCAACAAAGTTGTTGTCTTGTTTCTCGACGTCCACACGGACAGACTTGATAAGATAGTCCCGGCTGATGGTGAAGGAAAGGAGGAGAGCAACTCCAGAGGAAGATGCCACAGATGTGTAGTTCTCCAGAGCCACACGCTGCGCTGGAGGCACCGTGTCTGTTGGACACTGGAGTCAAAACCTTCATCACAGACAGGCAGAAGTACCACTCACAGCACTTCTGTTCCACAGGGTGAGATGAAGGTCCAATGCCACAGGGGTTTATGGCCGCCACCCTGTAAGTGTACGTGACGTCACATTTGATGGCCCAGTCGTGCTGGGTGGCAGTCACGTTGAGGGTATGGCGAGAGTTTGGCTCATCAGACTCCCAGGTGATGTGGTAGGCGATCACATCGGAGAAACTGGACCGCTGTCAGAATAGAGGATGATGTAATACAAGTCTTAGTGGGTGTGGCTCACCTCCCATTGCAGAGTGGAGAATGTACCACTGCTGTTGTAGACAACTTCAGTCCCAACACCAACCACAACAGAGGGTTCTGCGTGGAAGAGAGAGAGAGCATTGTTGGCCAGGCGTGGCAGCTGGGGTACAGACTCACTGTAACTGGATCTTATAAAGTCAATGCTAGAGCTGGTGCCTTGGGGACAGGTGACTCTGACATCGTATGCTGTGTTCTCTTCCAGGTCTGAGGAGATGGTGTGGCTGAGGCAGTATAATACTATCTCTCTACTGCAATACCTGCTTGATTGTTGAAGACTTCTCCTGAGGTGCTGACAGTGATGGATCTCTCTGTCCAGTCAGACGTTCCAACTTGTCTATATCCCAGTGTATAGAGGCCAGGGCTCCCTGACAGTGTCACTGTCAGTTGGTTGCAGTCCTCCACCGAGGCAGAGAGGTCAGGTGGTGAGCAGCTCTCACCTGTAAGGACAGAAGACGAGAGGGTGCTAATGACTCCGCCCCTCCACTTACCACATATGGAAGTGGTCACTTCGACTAGCTGATTTCCTTCGTAGCGCAAAGTACACTTTACAGTCTCGGCTGTGCCTTGACAGCTGCTGAGGTCAACAGTCAGTGTGGAGGTGACTGTGAACTCGTAGCCATCTCTGTCCAGAATATTGACTGCTCCTGTCACGTCTAGCCCCCCACGGCGCCACTCAATCTGCAGATGGTAACAGCCCACATTATTGAGTCATTTCCCTAACCTTTTCCCTCACCTGCTCATCCTCTGTAGTCGTGTAATACAGGGCTGAGCAAGTCAGCTTGACTTTAGAATCATCATTCTCTATAAGTATGGGGTTCACTTCAGCAACTGGAGGAGGAGGAGGTGACAACTAATGATACTCATGAGACACTGCACTCACAGACAACAGGCACCGTCCACTCCTGATCCTCCGTCCCTGCCGTGTTGGCAGCATGAAGGCTGTACACTCCTCTATCTTCCTTGTTGATGTTTGTTACCGTAAGACTCACTCGCACTCCGTCTCCCTCTTCCACAGTTAGGTTAGTTATCCTATTGTCAGCTGTGATGAGTTGGTTATTGTGTCTCCAGAGGGTGGATGGAAGAGGGTCCCCGGCCACCAGAGCCGACAGGGTCAGAGATGAGCCAGGCACTATCTCTGAAGCCACTGAAGTTGCTCCACTGATGACGGGAGCCTCTGGACAAGGAGGAGTAAACCACTTCAATCGTTATCATAGTTGCTAGTAGTGCTACATTCCCAGACTGCCGCTGACAGACAGCGAGAATCTAGGCTCCTCCTAAATGACATTCACGAGGCAATGTGGCATGAATTCTGCCATCACTGTCAATGGTTGTCAGTGATGGTGAACTGCGCAGGCCTTGTAGGGGGGGAAGGGAGTGCTACCAAACCATACTCTTGTCCTCCCTTGTCCTCCCACATGTACCTGGCCACACCTCCAGGATACACATGTAGCTCAACAACATTGGTCTAGCTGAGGGTTGGCCGGCAGCCTAGTGGGCAGCAAGCCAGGACCACACATTACTACCAACATGCTCCTTTCCCAACAGACAGAGACTCTGATATTGGAGTGGGGCCAGTTCAGAGTGACTCTCTAATTGCAGGTAATGTGACAAAAGATTGCAGGACATCTGATAGTGGTCTTGGCTGTTCAGGCACAGCCATCAGAAACTCTAGCCACCCTCCCTCACTCCCTGGGCACCACCAACACACACACAACTCTAATCTCATGAGGACAAGCAGGTCTCAGTGATAAGAGGACATGCAAAGACAGTATAATTATTCCTGACTATTATGCCATGTATATACACAATCACAACTCACCAGCTAGTTTGAGGACAGCAGAACAACTCCGAAAGTCACCTGCACCAATCTGTAAATTGCACGTGTACCGACCAACATCATCTAAGCTGATGTTGTTGAATTGAAGAACATATCCATTTTCCATAATAATACAGTCACAGCTACTCCCAGGGGCGACAGAAGTCATATCTTTGTCCCACGTGATGACTTCCGTGCCCGCTTCATCGTATAGACATGTCATCATTGCCGCTTGACCGGCTCTGGCCACCACGTCCTCGGGCCGCATATGGAAAGCTGGTCGACGAGACGACAGTAAGTATATCGGTAGTTTGGTTTTCAGACAAAGCGCTGACCTTCACATTGCTCCGCTGATCTAGCAACTCGGTAGATGGCTACACCTGTTACCATCATACACAGCAAGAGCTCCCTCATCGCCATCGTAAACCAGGACAAAACCGCGGTGACTCGTCGATTCCCGCGCCCCGACAGTTTAGACTGGCGCTGTGTGCGAGCGTAATTAACAACAATGCGTACGCGTGCGCACAATAATATACGCGCACGCGCTCTACGTACAGGCGCATAAAAACCATGACCAAGTCAGTTGGAAGTCTGAAAGGCATTAGTGGAGTGGTAGTAGTCACTGGGTAACTCTACCGGTTGACAGGGAGGGTTGTCTTTGAGGTTCTCAAGACAGGCAATGGCAGGTCGGAAGCCAGTGCTGGCCAGAAAGGAGGAAGAAGTGTACAACTCCTCAGCCACAGTTGGGTGGGTGGCAACAATCCTGAACCACTCAGCCAGGTGGCACAAGTTGAACCCCTCACACACCAGGGCTCGGAATTTGGTGTCCTTCGAAATGTTTCGACAGTTGACGTACATGCTCTCCACGCGATAGATGGCAGCCAGGAGAGTCTTCTTGATGGAGGAAGAGGTGGCAATGGGCAGGGAGAAGGAGGAGGAGAGCAGCTGGTCTGGCTTGGTGCTGTAGTCTTTGCCATTCTTCAGGCCATAGTAGAACTGGAAAACCTTCCAGGCTCCACATTCCTCTTCACCGGCTACCGCTGCCCGACTCCAACTCCCCCACACATTAACACAGCCCTTGCCAGGCACCGTCCCTCCCCCTCCATTGATGAGACCATGTTCCAGCAGAACTCTCAGGCTGTCTGCCAGACTCATTGATACCTCCTCATGCAGCTCCGTCTCCAACGCAACTGCCATGCCTGCGGTGAGAGCTGGGTCGGACAAAGACGTTGTGAGTATTGCAATTCTGTCGACGGCCATTTCCAGGCTGCGCAGTGCGGAGTGGTAGCGTTTCCTGTGGCCGTCGGCAACGTAGCGTGGGAGACAGTGGAAGGATCCTCCACACTGCCACAGCGTGAGCAGCTGCATGACTGTCAGGGTCTTGCGCATCACCAGGAGACTGAGCCGCAAGTCGTCTGGGGCCTTGCACTGGTAGAGAGGGGTGCTATCATTGGTACCCATCCATGCCATTTCATTGGTGTCCACTGAACACTGGACTCCTCCAGAGTCGGGCATGTCCCCAAGGAGAAGGTCTGCATCAGGCGATGCCCGACTTGCAACCAGTGTTGTGTGCAGTGGTCGAAACTGAGGTCCACCAGAAGACGAACACGAGTCTTCCTCCCTCTCGTCTGCAAATGACACGTGTTTCGGCTGCGCTGAAGGCAGTGGGGAGGTGCAGCGAAGGGAAGGACGAAGTGAGGTAGATCTGGCAACAGCTCGGGTTTGGCTCCGCCCAGGGTCTTCTTGTAGGTAGGCAATGTATCTGTGGAGGTCACTGACCTGCGTGGTCAGCTGACTCACTAGGTCCTTCTTGGACTGTATTCCCTTCACCGCCTTCGAAACCTCCTCCTTTACCTCCTCTGTACTCATGCTCTCCAGATCACCAAACTGGAGGTCGAACCTACGGCGAAGTTCTTCTATTATCAGATGCTGTTTGTGGGCCAAGTCAGACCCCTGCCCGCCATTCCCCTCCTCGCCTTCCTTCTCCACACTCCGAGCACATTCCTCTAGGTCCCTCAGCTGGTCCTTTAGTTTCTCAATCAGGTCAGAGCGGCGCTGCTGCTGGGCCTCTGTAGATCCGTTCTCTCCGGCCGCCGCCGTGTCGTACGTCATGGACCGAGGGCACCCCTGGAAGGCAAACTCCTCGAGTTCTCTCAGCATTCCTTCCTTGTGCTGGGCGTCCGCCGACACTATCTGCTTCAGACGAAACTGGACTTTGGCGAAATGGGTGGCCAGTGCTATAAGAGTGTCGTCGTGCACGTCTTCTTCGCTCTCCATCTTGTCCGCTTACACACAAGTGGCAAAACAAGAACACGGAAATCACCTTCGCCCTCGCTTCCTCTCAATCCCTCGCGTGTAAATTGCAACTACAATGACCTTTGCAAAGTGTGATTGACAGACTATACATTTTACATCACTGGCGCATTCTGAGAGTCTCTGCTTGCTGGAGGAGAGAAAATGGCTCCAAAGACTAAACTAAACCTGACACACCAAACTGCACACACCTGATTGTGCGGAGGAGATAATTTGCCGCATGCAACGTCCAAACTCCTCCAACACAGCTCTCTCCACTTCCTCCACTGATTTACCACTCTGAGGAGGAAACCACCAACAATTAACACACTTGTGCATGACAATGGCCCACCATCTGCGCATGGCTTGCCTCCTCCAGCAGACACAGACAAGTGGCCTTGGACACCTCTTTATTGATAAAGGAGAAAGGCAACCTGAAGAGAGAGACACACATGGACTTGCCCACAGCGCACCACTCAGTAAAATAGGATGAACCTCTGTCCATGTCTAGAAAGGGGCTCAGCTGAGGCAGGAGTGAACTCCAGTGTCTCCAGGAGGTGGGAAGCTGCAGCTTGCTGCTGTGTTCTTAAGTCTGGAGAAAAACTCTTAACAATACTACAAATGCATTCAGCTTAACCTGCCGCATCAGCCAAGTGCATGAGACTCTTGTTCTCTGGTTTGTCTGGCAGATTGCGACATCCAATGCATCGACACAGCCCAGAGCAAGGGATCTTGGCCTGTACATTATACATACACACTCCCTCACAATACGGAGGGAACTGGGTCATGCTCACCTCATAGCATTCACAATAGTTCTTTAGGCAACCTGATCGCTTACAGTTGCACCCTGTGAGTTTGCGGACACCGTGTTATCACACTGTTAACCAGTACTTAATATCTTACCTTTAACATGTCTTCGAACATCACCCTAAGAAGTGTGACAAACAGATATCATTTAGCTGAGTCTCCAAAGGCCGACTCACCGACTTATTAGGACCAACTTTTGGCTTGAAAGCATGTGGATTTCTGTCCAGACATATCTGAGAACCTGAGAGGAAAACAGACAAAGGTCGTGGAGAGTGGGCCACCAACCTTGACTGCTCTAGCTCTCTCCTCGGCATGGTCAACGTTGTTCTTGCAGTTGTGGCACTGGCAGCCTTCACGGCAAAACTCCCCATTAGCAAAACAGTCACAGTACCTGGACCATGGGTAACAACATTCTAACACACATGGCAGTGGAAGTTATCGGAAATGGTGATCATCCAACAAATGGGATCCCTGCCAAAGAAACTTGTGGAGAAGAGGTACATGTATATAGACTCACAGCTTTAGGCACTGTGAGTTCTTGCAATGACAAGGTTTTCTTGGCTTGTTGGCTCTCACAGCAGGTGGTCTTGGAGGGTCATCTCTGGAGAGAGACAGAGGAGCCAGGGCATTGGGAGAAGTTAGTGGATCAGTCTCACATAGGAGGGAGGGTGGCTGGAGAAGGCAGTGGAGCCTGGGGCTGAGGAACAGGTATCACCATATTCTGGTGGGCAACAGGCTGCAGAGACACTGGCAGCGCTGAGGTAATCACAGGAGGAGCACTGGCCTTTGGCATCAGTGGTTTGTTCCTAGCAGTGAGCTGGGGCTGCAGGAGTAGGGAATAAACATCTGTCCAGACTTAGTCATACATGTATATACCTGGACAGCATGCAAGTTAGTAGATAGTCCAGATGCAGATAGCTGTTTGACACTGTGCAGGAGGTGGTCTATCGTTTGAGCCTGGGCTGGAGTCAGATGGCTGGTGAGCTGTGTCAGGGAGGGCGAGGCTGGACGAAGGTACCACCAAGGTATGAACACAGAGAAACAACCGGTACACGGTAAGGCCTCACGTGCAGAAGAAGCTGTGATGACAGCTGGAGTAGTGAAATAAAGTGGCTTCACCATTACTCGTTTTCCTCCAGGAGAGAGCGGAGAGGGCGTGGGAACACCGGAGCGGTTCATGGTTGCTCGCCAGCTTAGCCGGCCGGCAAGACGACGAAGATGGTGGGCGAATTTTAGAAATTACCGCGCCTCCTACTTTTGCGCATGCGCGTAGAGCGCCCGATGATTGTCACGTGACAGGAGTAGAGGGCGTGGTATCACCGCTCGGAGGCTGGATCAAGCAAACTAAAATGCCTTTACTAGGGAAGAAACCGGATCCCAAGGAACAGGTAAGTTTTCTGACGCATGGAAACAGCCTATAATGTTGTTCTATCGTTTTGAGGTTCGGGAGTGGCGAGGAAAGCTGAGGAAGGAGCAACGTGTCATCGACCGACAGATCAGGGGTCTTACCTGGGTTTGAACCGAACTACAGCTTTACCTCTCATACCTGCAGGCATTCAGACGGAGGAGAATAAGGTCAAAAAGTCTATAAAAGAAGCTGCTAAAAAGGGCCAAAAAGATGTGGCAAAGATACTGGCGAAAGAACTTGTTCAGTCAAGAAAAGCAGTAGGAAAACTGTATGCTTCCAAAGCACAGATGAATTCAGTTATGATGACCATGCAGCAGCAAGTTTGTAAGAGCCTTACCTCCACACAATAGTTTTAGTGATGCAGTTTACTGTCATACCTAGCCATGCAACGAATGGTTGGAGCCATTGGGAAGAGCACAGAAGTAATGCAGGCCATGCAGAGCCTGATCAAGGTACCAGAGATCTCACAAGTAATGCTAGAGCTCTCCAAAGAAATGACGAAGGTGAGGAACTAGCAGTTTTCATGAGGCAGCAGGGTTCTAATGGTGTGCGGCAGGCTGGGATGATAGAGGAGATTCTGGAGGAGACATTCGAAGATCTGGAGGACGACGATGTGGAGGAACTGGCTGACAAGGAGGTTGAGAAGGTGCTGTGGGAGGTGACCACTGGTCAGCTGGGCCAGCTCTCAGGAACACCCTCTGCCACCCCTCAAGATGACGGGGTGAGTCCTACCTAGCTGAGTCACAGATGACACCATGACATGACTGGGTTGAGCAGGCAGTGGGCCCAGAGCCAGAGGCGGTGGAGTCTGACGAGGAAGAAGATATGACAGCCAGACTCGAAGCCTTGCGTAGCTAGCACCAAACACACATTTTGACACTCCTTTTATGTCTCATTGATGCTGTGTATACTGTGCAGTATGAATTTTATTTCATTCCTGGTTTGCTATTTCAGCAGTGGTGACAAGGCTGAATTCAGTGTTAGTGATGTAGAGTCTTAGTGACATAGAAACAATCCTTACAAGACGCACAAACACAAAAAGAGCAGAGGCCAGGCTAGCACGAGCAGTCCTTGCCTCTTCGAGATGTCTGTGGTTGCTCTAGTCGCAGTGTGGACCCAGGCACCTCTGTACAGGCAACACACAGAGTGTCAGTACAAATCAAGGCAGAGCTTCTGCCAACTGACCAGGACTAGCTGCTTTGTTGTGAGACATAAAATCCTCAGCAATTGTCATGAACATTGTCTCTGTAGTGTGCAGCCACAAATCCATCCAAGACACTATAAGCTGAGACCAGAGGACTCACCTATGTTGAACCCAGTCTTGGCTGATGTCTCCATGTACTTTGCATTTATCTCTGCATACACACCCAGAGAGGTGCATTCAAGTACAGCCAGCAGGATGATCCTTACCTTCTGAATACTCCCGCACCACGTGGACATCTACTTTCCGAGCCTTCTTGCTGTCTTCAACGAGGTCCACCTTAGTTCCACACAGACAGACAACACACTCCTACAGCAGTTGTTTACTCTTCAGATTCTCCCATCCACAAACACAACAAACCTCTTCTGTTTGCTTCAGCTCATTTACCCAGAACTTGGCCCGCTCAAAACTGGAGAGATCTGTCAGGTCTGGAGAGAGGGAAAACTGATGGTTTAACCTGACATGTTACCTGCTTATATACCAAAGCAGACAATGGCTGCCTTGGCTCCTCTGTAATAGATCCTGCTCATTGACTCATATCTCTCTGAGCCTGCGGTGTCCTACAGCAGACAGAGGGAAGTACTCTAGTGCAGAGCTCAAAACATACCCATATCCCCAGTGTGACTGACTCTCCAGATATTGAAACCTTCTTTGGCACCAAACGCAGCTCCGATGGTCTAAAGAGGGGACAAGTGGCAGCAGAAAAGCTGGATGTCAGTGGAAGAGTGACAGCATGACCACACCTAATACTGACTGTACCTAATGGAAGACAGACTGCCACATTACAGGCCAGGGCTTACTCCATGTGTACATGGCTAGCTAGCTAGAGCTGGGAGGACACTAACCATCTCATATGGACCCCCTTCACCTTCCAAACCCTGCACACAACAGGGAGAGAGAACACCAAACACATACTGGCTACCACAACCGTGTTAGTCTATCCTCCCTCCTCCCAGCCTCGGAAAACTACAACTGAACCGTACAGGACAGTCAGCCTATCAAAACTGGTCGTACACGCGCGAAAGACCCTCTAGTAAACCATCAACTCACACTCTGGTAGGGCGCGTTAGAGTTAAACTTGTTGTGGATGTATCGCTCCACCAGACTAGTCTTCCCGCCGTACTCCTTGCCCAGAAGAACTACTTTGAGGTCCACTTTACCCGCCATCTTCCTGCTCAGACTCAAAATTTCTCGACGGTGGCGTACAATTTGGCAGCCAGCGCCACCCAATTTGTTATGAATATCAAAAATTTTGTGATCCTCGCTGGCGTAGTGGCACGATGTACAGATGGTCCACATCTTATCGAGGGCCGTGGGTATCAGCCACCAGGTGAAGTAGTTCTAGATCAGAGAGCATGTGGCACCATTCTGTGTTTGTAGACTGCAGACAGTGAGGACTCCCCTACCTGCCTGGCCTCCTCACCTCAGAACTTGGGGCCCTCTGACAGCAATTCGTAGGCCAGACCAGTATGGTCCTCCTCTGCATGTCCACCAGATGACCCACCTACCAGTCTCTTTACCATATCTGCGACCTCATCCAGCATGCTCGTTCGCATTCCTCCATACGTCCCCATGGAAACTGGACCCAAACAAGAAGGCGGTAGTGGAGAAAGCGGTGGATGGTCTGAAGGAGAAGAAGAACAAGGTGGCACCATCTGAACGAGAGGAGGTGAACATTGCAGGCCTGTGATGTTTGGCTTGCATTACGCCATTGTCTGTGCAGCAGTCTGTGGTCCAGCCCAAACCTTCTCTGGCTGCTCGTGCGAAGGAAGTGGCGCTCCACTACTTCAATGGCTTTCGGCTGCTCGTCCTCGATGTCAGAGTGGCCATCAGACTCCTGCTCAAGACGATGCAGGGCCAAACCCTCACTCGTAGGGAGAGAAAACTGTTCCGTCGGACTGTGGCTGATATGTTTCGTATTGTCCCATTCTCTGTCTTCATTATTATTCCGTTCATGGAGTTTCTACTGCCAGTCTACGTTTACTTCTTCCCCAATGCTCTCCCATCAACATTCCAGAGCTCCTCGTCCAAGGTCAGCCTTAATTCTGCTAGGTTATGGAAGAATTGCCATTGCAGAAAAGTTACTAGTGCTTGCATTTCAAACGTGAATCAATGTGTAAAGGTAAACCATCACAAGAAAGTGGTCCATGTAGAATGGTACAGAGGACCAGTTACATCAGCAGCCAGTGTGTGTGTGTTATAGGCTGACCGGAAGAAAAAGGAACTGAAGGTGAAGCTGCAGATGGCAAAGTTCCTGCAGGGCACAGTGGAGGAGATGGCAGTGACTGGACGCAGGAACAAGAAGGAAGCTGTTCAGGAGTTTGCTAAGTTCTTTGAAAAGGTGTGTGGTGTGTTGTGGTTGTCAGAATGAAGACTGTCAACTCGTGTGCATCCAGATCAGAGACAGTGGGCAGCAAGCCTCCACCAGTGACCTCATTCGGTTCTCCAAACTGTTTGAAGACGAGCTGACGCTAGACAACCTCAGTACACCCACCTTGAAGGCCTTGTGCCGCCTCCTTCTCCTCCAACCCATCGGATCCTCAAACTTCCTTCGCTTTCAGCTGCGAATGAAGTTGCGGCAGCTGATGACAGATGACAAGGTGACAACCTAGACCTGTGTTGTGTGGAGGAGGTGGTGTGTTGTTTGGTGTCGCAGATGATCCAGAAAGAGGGGGTGGAGTCCCTGACGGTGGCTGAGCTGCAGGCAGCCAGTCAGGCGAGGGGGATGAGGGCCCTGGGAATGCCAGCAGACAGGCTCAGGTCACAGCTGTCCCAGGTATATACCTCTGGTCCTTGACTCCACCTGTCCTAACAGGCTGTTTTCTGTCAGTGGTTGGAGCTACATCTGAGGCACCAGGTTCCTTCCTCACTGCTCCTACTGTCCCGTGCCCTCTACCTCCCAGATGACGTCCCCAACATGCTACAAGCCACACTGTCTACATTACCACAACCCATTGTAAGTTCATGTAAAGTCTCACGGCTGAGAAACCATCTTCCTTTGTATGTGTGCAGGTTGAAGAGGCAGGAGTGCGTGTGGCAGACTCCAGTGGGGAGACAGTGGATAACAAGACAAGACTGGAGGTCATACGTCAACAGGAGACACTCATTAAGGAGGAGGCTGCCGAGAAACAGAAGGAGGTCAGCGTAATAGCAGTCACGGTCTCTAGCAGTATGGTGTGTGTGTATACAGAGAGAAGAATTGGAGGCTGCAGCAGCTCCCACGGAGAGCATGGAGGTGAGAGATGTGAACTGCCCCCCGTCTTAGCTGACCTCTGGGTGAACCAACACAGGACTCGGCTCCTGTAGTCCATACCACAGTGGCCACACCCACTCCCCCTGAGGAGGTTCTGGACAGTATATCGGCGGCGGAGCTGCGCGACCTGAACGAGGCAGTGGCCAGTCTGAAGGGAGAGCGGCAGTTGGAGGAGGAGATACAGGAACTGAAAGAGGAGAGGGAGGAATACAGGGAGGTGAGAAACCGACTCTAGTCTTTAGCAGTCTCTGGGATTATTACTGTGTGTAGGATGTGGCTGAGCTGGCAGAGGAAAGCCAAGAAGCTCAAGAAGCTCTGATGGAGTCCAAGGCATCGGTGAGGCTGGGGAAGAGAGTGGAGGACCTGATATCACAGGTGGACAGCACCTTGTGGCAGCTGGAGAAGGATATAGTGTCAGGAGAAGGGCAGGACTTGTCCAGTGCCCAGCCCAACTCGTGAGCCCCTACCTCTCACATTGAGCTATCTCTGGTGTCTCAACTGCAGGGAGCAGGTCATTCCATGTGAAGAACTGGAACAGGCACTGACAAGACTCAAGGAGACCAGTGGAGAGGCTAAAGTACGAAGTTTAGTGTCAGTGCTGGACCCAGACCATGATGGAAATATCAACATCAGAGAGATTGCAGAGGTGAGCATTTGCTTTGAGCAAGAGACCAACAAATGATTGTGTGTATGTGTGTGTACAGGTAGTAGAGAGTCTGGCACAGGAAGACACGGACATTCAACCACAGCACATTGCTCTCATCAAACATCTCATAGAGAGAGAGGCTGAGGAAAACAGCCCCACTAGTCAATCATGATTGTGCAGTCAGTAATACACTTACAATAATATAATTATGACAGTGCATAATAATTTTAAACTTACATCTGAAAAATTGCTCTATCATAATAAGAAGCCATTTGTGTATAAAAATTAAGATCTAAAATCTGCGGTGAGCATTAAATAAAGAATACATGACTAACGGCCACAGACATCACATGTACTAATAATGGAAACAAAAATGTTATGGAGCTGGAGCACTGGTCTATGATATTAGAGGTGTAGGAGAGAAGGGAGGAAGGTAGGGGAGAGGGGGTGAGAATGGGCTGAGCTCATGTTAGAGCGTTTGGACATGCTATATGTGACTGACTGATCTTTTCCACTTGAAAACTTTGCGCAGCCACCCCTGCCCACTCTGTGAATGCTGGGCCCCTGAGTGAGCTCCATAGTTGGTGCTCATCGTCATTCTCTCAATGGGGTGAAGAGTGTTGATCTCTTCAAACGCCTTCATCTCCAACATCTGAAGTACAAGAACATCTCCCATTTAGTGGCACACTATGCAGCAGAGCCCACCTCCTCCTGCCACGGCTGAGACACAGCCCCCGTGGAAAACTTGGCAGCAAACTCGTTATCAGAACCATCCATCTCCACTCCCTTCACTGATGAGAAAGGATCAATGTCCAATACGTCTCTAGCATACACTGCCTTCTCCTGTGATAAACAACTCCACATTACACTTGCAAATCTAGGGCTGAAGGGTACGACATACATTAGGCATGAAGGGAGGGTCGACTTGACCAGCCAGTAGGTGGCTCCAGTTAATGTACTGGAAGAAAGGGTGTGCCTGTACAGTGGAGAAACCTCCAGGCCCACAGCCCAGTCTCGCGGAGCTGTCCTTGTCCAGTAGCTGAATGACAGACACACGAGGAGTTGAGTACAGTCACACGTTGCAGTATAATCACCTGTGAACAGAAGAGTTTTGCGTCGTCAGTGAATTTCGCAGTGTAGTGTTCCCTCTCTTCCTTGATGCGCTGCTCCACGTCGTCTCGTGTGACTCTCTCCTTCCGCTGTCTGAAGGGACACTGTGAGGGGGGCACTCTATTAGCACAGTGTCCTCTAGGGGTGTGGCCAGCTCACCTCTCCATGCACCATCTCATACACCACACACCCCAACCCCCACCAGTCCGGCTGGAAGGTGTAGCGATGATTGCCAATTACCTCAGGAGCCATGTAGCCTACAGTCCCCACGCGACCTCTCACTGACTGGCCCTCTGGTATGTGAACTGCTAGCCCTAGATCACTGATTCGAACATGGCCTAGTAGGAAATGGCAGAATTATAGCTACTCTGGCAGTTGATAGTATATCACAAGTCACCTCTGTCGTCCAGTAGAATGTTGTCTGGTTTCATGTCTCTGAAAGGAAAAAAGAAAGATTGAGATGGTGCTGACGGTCCCCTGTACATAACAAACTAGTATTACTGCATATGTATATACCTGTATGCTATCCTGGCCTGGTGGAGATGAGCCAGTCCACATGCAATTTCTGCTGCGTAGAAGACAGTGCGAGGTTCACTGAGCCCTGGCTCTCCCACATTGTGTATGTGGAAGCGGAGATCTCCTCCTCCCATCAGTGTCAGAATCATACAGAGAGCATCTTTGGACTGGTAGGCATACACCAGACTCACCTGCAGGCAGTAAGAGAGGTCAGGGGAGATCGGGGGCAGTAGGAGGAGACGGACTCACCACAAACCTACTCGACACTCTCTCCAGAACCTGCTTCTCATTCAGAGCCAGCTTTTCCCCATGTCTTCGTTTCACCCTCTTCTTCTCCAATTTCTTGAGTGCATACATCTTCCCTGTGGTCTTGCTCTGGCAGGCATACACCAGTCCAAACCCGCCTTTCCCCAGAACTCGATACACGCGAAAGTTGTTCTTGGTGATAGGCATTCTGCAGGAAGAGTCAGTGCATCGGTTGTGACTCAGCAACATAACACATGACCCACTTTTCCAGATATTTCCACTGGAGGTAGCGCCAGTAGAAGGGACTGTTCACATAGTCCACGAACGGCTGCCCGCTCAAAAACTGGCGAGCTTCCCTAAAACAAATCCACGAGTTATTTAGCCGCCTCCCACCAATCCCTGACTAACTGCACACATGTAGCGAAGAGGTCACGAGGTACCGGTCTCACTGAGAGCTTGGTTTCCACACCGACAGCCAACTCCTCCCCGACCACTTCCAGTCGAACCTTCCCAGGAGGTAAGATGAATACACATGGACACACTGGTGGCACTGTCCACACACTGACTCACTCCCTCTGCCAGGTATGTGGCAAACACACTCCGAGCTGCAGCTGCAAACTTCTCATCCACCAGAAGCTTGAGACCCGCCACTTCCTCCAGGAACTTGGTACACTGGTTGAGAGGCTCCCTGGCACAAAACTGGTGGAACAGCTCCTGTCCTATTGGCTGCTGCTCAACCAGATACTCATAGGTATGGTCTGTGTGGCACAGTGCAAAATTTTACATATGGCCATTGAAATGTTGCTAATCCAAATATCTGCACAGACAATTATGTTGTTAATCCCCTGAGACAGAAATATCAGCAACTAAGCTTCGGACAATGGAACTCCAGTTAAGCAGTTGACTATGCACAACAAACAGCTAGTTGAAGCCAGCAAACACCATGGCTAATTGACAGAAGATACATTTCCCACCAGTGCCCAACAACCCTTCTCCTCCCACATATTTACCAAGTTCATCTCTCAGCCACAGGCACTGAGCAACGGGAGGCAGCCTCAACATTTCTTTCCACTTCTTGCTGCGACCACGGTCGCCTACTGGTGGAGCAGAAAGACACAGGTAAACCTCTAATCAATGCCCACCACGGGCCGCCTCCTACTAGAAGCTAACACTCTAAGATTTATAAAGTCTAATGATACGGTTAGCTATGTATGCAGTGCACACACACACACGTTCATAGCTGGCAAAAAACGGCACTCACAGTGTCTGGCTTTCACTAGGACCGTGTTTGCCACGATATTCTCTATGTCCATCGCCATGTCCGCAGCACACCCACTGTCTTCTTCACACACTCTCTCTTAGGCGACACAGCACGTCCTTACAGCCCCCGGCAGTCGGGAACGCTGCCGTCTTCCCGGCGACGACTGACAGTAGGTGTACACAAAAACAATGTGTACACAGGCTTTGCGAGGGTGTATATAGTAGTACACAACGCGTGCGTACACTCCATCGGCGGATGTGACGTCTGAGAACAGCTTGTGTGTGTGTACGTGTGTGTACGTGTGTGTTTGGTGTCTGGAGGTATGCAAAGTGATAGCTCAAAAAATTATCATCATCAGACATAATGGGTCATGCCATAGTATAGCCAAGTTCATCAGTGGTGGGTTCAGACACCATCTGCATTGCGGACTTGTGCAGCAGCAGTAGTAACTGCCTTAGCTGGCCCTGTGTGAAATCCTAGAAAAAACACCAAACATTGGACAGATCAAAGACAGTAGTGGATGTCCAACCTTGTACAGCTTATGCTTTTCAGAGGTGACCACATCACTTAGCTGAAGGCACTGTGCGTTCAGAAACAACTAACAGTCTTCTTTTTCTCTTTCAACTAACTCAGTCACCTTCTTGTACTGGTGGGAGGCATGCAGCACGGTGTGAAGCAGAAAGCAGACTTTGGGGATGCAGCTCTGTCTGAGTGCCTGCAGCTGTAGCAGGGCTGAGTCATCACCGTCTCCCTCCTCATCTTCTTCCTCCTCCACCTAGCAGGTAACTGGTAATAGAGGGAACAGACTACCACTCCTTGCCTCTCTTCCACCACTCATCCAGCCTCCAGAAAACACCAGCACATCTTGCAAAGCACCTGAGGCCTCCTGGAAGAGAGTGTTGTAACATCTACAGTAGATAGTAGCTAGGGCTGACCTCGGCAAGTGATTTGGCAAGGCTCTTCCACTGCTCATTCTCTTGCTACTCAGAGAAAAATGGTCATAAACATGGAGCGTTGACCCACAGCAGCTAACCCTGTACTGAACAAGTCTGTGTTGAAAGGTTGCATCTTCATGGAAGGCTTTGTCTGCTGGTTCAGGAGGCTGCACCTGACGTCATACACAACAGAGACTAACTACAGAATACTCACTGTAGATCATAATATACTCACTGGTTTGTTGTGATGGAAATGTTGGAACCAACAGTTGAACTTCTCTATGCTATTCTGTGGGTAAGAGGTAACAAGCCTGAAAACTGAACAGAAGTGAATACCAGGTACGTCCGCAGAGCTTCTAGTTCTGTCAGATCTGCAGTAATGTGAGCAGGAAGAGGAGATGGCCCGGCCTAAAGAGTTAGATAGCGTAAGCATTGAGTAAATACACTGGAGTTGATGTACACCTGTTGCTGCCAGAGTCTGGTGATGACTTGAACAGAGTCTGCTGGGATCTTCTCCAGCACTGCCTGGGCAGCTGAGAACTTCCGGGTGGCTAAATGCAACCATCGGCTTGTGGGTGCAGCATTCGTAATACAATAGGACACATACTGAGGAACAGTCGAATCAGTGCATTTCCTTGTTTTATAGCCTCATGCCTCTGTGCACTCTCAAACACCAGCCAGTTGATAGCTCTGATTTTCTCCAAGTCAAGCTGGAAGGATTAAATGCGATTATCCCTCCCTCCCACTATACAACATGCATATTACCTCAGTCAACTGGACCTCCTGGTCCAGCTCAGTCGACTGCTGGTCTGTGTCCTCCTGTCAGGAGAAGAAGTGTTGAGGCTGCCAGTGGTCCAGCTGGAGGCAGACTCACCAGCTGTCCTGTGGTCCTGATTGTCTCGACTACTGTCTTGGTCACCATCCCGATATCTAGACCAGCCTCCCTCCCCAGCTCAAGACATTGCCTCTGTTCTTCCTCCTCCTTCACACCTGCACGCAAACCATCCTCCACACTCTGATGGAACACCATGTCCTACCAGCCAGCAGGTGAGCGTAGGAAGAGATCTGAGAGGTTGCAGGAAGATGAGCTGCATATAGAGCCACTGCTGACTGGTACTGGCCCTCTGTCAGTGCCTGACATAGAGAACATTGTGTCTCCAGCACACCTCTGTATCAGATTAACACACACCTTGACATACGCCTCCACAATTACATCCACTTGGCTGCTCTGCAGTGTTGGAATTTCCACCATGGCCCATGAATGGTACTCACGACAGGACAAACCTCTCTCAGACTCCCCAGGCTTCGTGCAACCAGACCAACATGAGCCTGTCAGATAGGTAGAAAACAGACACTGGGCCAACGTAGTAGGTAATGGGTGTATATACCATGACTCTTAGTAGGTGAAGGGCCGGCTTGGAGGACAACCAACTGACCATCTTCTTCAGCAGACCTACGGAGACAAGGAGTTTAGGATGTGTCATTGGTATGCAAGAGCCTTCACCATTCATATCATCCAGAATGATGTGCTTTTGGATCACATGGAAGTGTGACTGAGACTGCTGCCGTATTACCTGCAGTAGTAATTTCAGACACCTGATAGGTAGGAAGTAGTGGCTTCAGAAACTTACAACAGATGAACATGTTTCAATTTCCTGGAATACTTGCTCAGGTAGAACTCTGTTGTGTGAGAAGCCAGCATACATGTTAACATGAGCTCTCAGTTGCTCTACTCCAGTGCCTACACTGAAGTCCAGTACTTTGGTGGAAGCTCTGCCAGTTCCCTCTCAGTGGTGGTCCCCTGACTCCGCAGAACCTGCAGCCACACAGCCTCATGTACGTCGACATTTCTCAACTACCACAATACCTTCTCCACCTGAACATCAACTAGGGTCTTGAAAAATGCCCACACATAGTCGTACCAGGTCTGACAGGCTGGCAGGACCTGCGGGAGACCACCATGGCACTAGTCCTGGCTGAGAAATGTATCACAAACCTTGTACACATTCCCACTCAGCGCAGCAAATGCTGCCTTCTCATACACATCGTAAGCTTGCTGTACCAATTAACCATAATCATTACTACTAAGGCATACAAGAACCACCTCGTCCACCATCTGCCAGCAAGAGGACTTCCACACATCTCTGAACTCATTGCCTTCAACCTGCTCCGGGGCATCATCAGTAGCAGCTGGACAACCCACTAGCATGTGGTGAGATATCGCAGTATTCAAACTATCTCTTACACACGCCAAGGTTAGGGTCGTGGTGTAGCTTCCATCCTTCCAGCATCAGAGCCTTCAGTGGCTGGCCACTACTGACACAGATACTTAGTGCCTGGGCAGAGAAACACACACACACACACACTACACTAAGACACCTTCTGGACAAGTGTACCTTTTCCAACTGGCCTGCTCTGATACATGTGAAGACATGCTTGTTAAGAGAGAGTTCATCCCTCTCATCCAGACCTGAGAGCTTACGTCGTTGCCTTGTGCAGGCGTCGGGGTCCTATGAACAGAGTTATTATACAGAGGGCAGCAAGCATCATGACCTACCATCTCGGTGACCAGGACATCACAGTCAACTCCGTGGGTTATATCATGAAGAGTATTCTCCCAGCAGACATTGTCAGCAAAGTAGGCAGCCTTTGCTGGGTAGGTCTCCAGGCCTACTCGAGCCAGCCCCTCCAGCCAGTCTACTACCAGCTGCAACAAGACACAATCAACAATGGCTCCTTTCACATGGGAGGCTTGCCTGGGCCTGGCGAACACAGCTGTCCCGGGCAAACAGTCTGTCTGTAAGTGTCTTGTCACCGTCCCCGTCACCTACCGTAAGTAGTACCTCTAGGCTCTCTCTCCCCTCTTCCTCACTGCGATCCTCTTCTAGGATGTGTAGCAGCTGCCACGTAGCCATCTCCAGACACAGCTCTGACTGCAACTGATCAACTGAAAACCTAATGGGAATATAAATATACACACGGCACACAAACTGTGCAAACCTTGTCTGTTTTTCAAAGGTAGTTAGAAGTTTATGCTGAACCTCACAACACTGAGGACAAACACACCAGTTGCAGGTCACCAGTAGTAAGATTGAGGACATATTATATACCTTCTCGAGTGCTGAGAGCAGGTCCAGAACTTTGTAAGGTGTGTTGTGGATGGACAGCTCACGATGAAAGGCCATCACTAGGTCTGCACCGACTACAATATCCTGGCTGTAAGTAGCTCCCAGGATGGCAGGGAACACCAACCTCTACGGGTGGGGTCCTGCAACACAGTTGCGTCTTCTCCAAGCACCGTGTCTTCAAGCAGAGTGTCACTGTATGGCCTGACCTGCCGGGGGAACTGACACCGCCAAGGTCTTAGATTGACTGCATGTGGTGCTGTGTATTTCCATTACCATTAGGGTAGTGTTGTGAGCTGGAGTTGGGGGAAGATGCAGGTTCTTCAGCAATGACGAACTGTCCATCAGGCTTGCCTCGCCCTACGTATTTACATACATTGTGTATCACAATGTAATGAACAATTGCCTGCGGAAGACTTGCTGTGTTATAAGAGAGTCCAAGACGTGGAGTGTTGGCTGCTGGCTCGTCCACATGCTCGCCAGGTGAAGAAAGAACTTGGTCTAACTGAAAGAGTGCTAAAGAAATGAAAAGTACTAAAGTGCAAACCTTAGGTGCACTGAGTGTGCATGGTACCGCTAATTGATGGGCTGGACTACGAGTGTGTGTTTTATACTCGAGGTTTGCTGCTAGTAGCTCGTGGAGAGTCGGACATCGACTAGCTACACTAGTAGATTGCATGTGTGAATCGATACATGCCCTTTGTTGTGACCTCAAAAGTATAAAGAGCAAGCAGTTCTGGTCGAGGTCAGCCTGTCTAATTTGCATGTTGGCCTTTTCACTTGGTTTTCACGCCATAACTCCATACTTTTTTAATCCATACTGCTACCTGTTTTCAGGGGACATTCCAGGCCAGTAGGTTTTTAGACAGCACTCTGTACAATTGTACTTACGAAATTCGCAGACCAATCTGTTGGTATCGCTCTTTGTTGTCTTGTAAAGCACGGTGACAGAAAATGTGGCAACAGACAGGCCGAGGCCAACTGACATACGAATGAACCAAGTACCGTAACCCTTGCTGCTCATGCACGTCAAGGGTTAACTATGAGTGAATAAGCCAACAGAACACCAACTGCCTACAGTGCTGTATCCTCTGGGAAGTGCCTGCATCACAAGCAGCAGCTGAGTCTAGCCCAACCGGCTCCCCTCTCAGAAACCATTGCCTGCAGCAAAACACAACTATTGGAAGCCATGAACCAATGCAAAAGTCTTGTTCCCGATATTACTACACTGTGTATGCAATACTGGGTGACTTATCACTAAAAATCAACGGGTAGGCCTTTGGTTTTCTTGCTCTAATTGCACGCGCGATGTACCTGTCTCCAGCTCCTGCAGGTTCCGGATCCTGCAACACATCGAAACTTAAGCCAAGAAAAGTAATAATTATACCAGATTGCTCACGAGGCTGATGTTTTCTTCTTCGTCAGCAGTAGAATCCAATACATCTTTCAAGCTAGTGCTCATCACCACGTTTTTGCCCAGCTTTAATTAATGCGCACCCTCCATAGTATGACGTTCGGCGCTGCGCAGCTGGAAATGATTACAATAATCTATCTTGAGAATGGCATAACTGGTGCTATATACAGTGAACTGCCTGGGCCAACCTGCAACAAGGCGTAATAAACGACATAATAAGCACAATGTCATAATTATTACAGTAAGTACCTTACTCTGATGGTGCCAGTCCAAATACTAAGCTTTGGCCCTATGCTGGTTGGGTGTTCCTGAGTTTCCGGGCTGCCTCTTCCTTCTTAAGGTAGTCTAAGAGGATAAGTAAAGTAGCTAGACAGCAATTTCCACCCCCAAATCTCACTGTTTCGTCTAATTCCGTAGAAAATGCCGACAGTCAGAAGAGAATATCTCGAGAACTGGGAGAAAGTCATGGGAGCCTTGGACATAACAAAGCAAGCAGGCACCTACCTTTACCAAGGGAGAGACAGCCATAATGCGCGTGGCGTTACCGTCTTCTTGTTTTCCTGTGGCTCCGCCTCCCCCTCTCTAGCTCTGCGTACGTACGTACGTACACACGTACGTACGTCTAACGAAGCCACGCATGCGCAGTCGGGGAGTAGTGCGCCTTCGCGCGCGCGTATGCCAAATGATATGATGAGTGTGAGAAGGGGCCGCCAGGAGCTCCAAGCTGGAGTGGAGCGGCTGGAGAAGCTGTGGGATAACATGGTCGACAAGCACCTCAGTTAGTATCCTTATCTAACTTCAAGTTTATGGCGGGAGTTGTTCTGTAGATGCTCCGCCCAAACCTCGTTCCACAGCTGGTATCGCGGGAGGTGTCCTGACCCACGTTGCTATACTGTGTTTTACTGTACTGATAGTGTGGACTGCTCAGCCGTCGAGCAGTGAGCGTCTTGTCTTCCGTGTGATGTTCCTTTCAGTTCCTGTTTGTAGGTCTTTTTTCCTGGCACCCAACCCTGATGTCCATTGCAGTAAGAAGTTTCTGGCTTCCTATGGCAATAGTACTAAGATGTAAACTTTGTTGCAGTTTGTGCTACTTATGTCTGAGGCAATACTGTTGTTTGCTGTGTGGTCCTCTCCTGTGCACGGGTATTCAAGGGCTAGCAAGATCCAGTGGCACTGGGTACTGCAGGCCTGCAGTCTTCTCTGTGCGTACACAGGATTGGCTGTCATCACTGCTAACAAGGTTCAAGCTGGAAAGCAGCACTATACCACATGGCATGGGATGGCGGGCATCACCATCTGTGGGAGTATATCAGCCCAAGCAGCGGGTGGCATTGCCATCTTGTGGCCTGGTATTCTACCCTTCAAAGTGAGGCCAGTGGTGGTAAAGAGGATCCATGCAGCTTTTGGAGTGGCAAATTACTGTGGTGCATTGTTAGTGCTGCTGCTAGGACTTTATTCCACATGGTTTGTAGCCAGTGCAGCCAACATTGTAGTGTGGAATACATGTGCAATCAGCCTTCTGCTCCTAGCATTGGCCCTGCCAATTCAAGTTGCTTATAATTTTGTAAAATGATAATGATGATGTGATACTTTCTAGTAATGTGTTCAGTGGAGTGGAGTTACTGCTGGTATCTTTTTCTGAGCCATAATTTGTGTTGGGTCAGCGTCTGGTGGTGAAACAAGCTCTAGTTTGGATAACTGTTCTGCAAGGTCATCAGCTTTGGTGCTGCTGTCAGGACCGGATAGCAAGGCTTCCAGCTCTCTCTCCAGTTCTTCATTTTCAACATTTCCCCCCAATATTGCTCCAACCTCCTCACTCTCTTGGATCACCTAGTATATATACAGACAGCCTGCAGAGTACACACACCTATAATTATAGAGACTCCCTATAATACCTCATGGAGTTCATCAACCACTTCCTCTGCAGCTGTTAGCATGTCATCATTGATGGTCTTTAGCACATCTCTACCTTTCTGATATGCTTCCAGCACCTACATATTATGTGGGCATGACATAGCTACTGTAATAAAGCAATTTCCTAACCAAGGCATTGGTTTCTGCCATCTGAATCTGGTGCAGAATA